CTTGATTTTATAATTCGATTGGCTGAATCATGTGCACAGCCATAGTAAAATACATGATATAGACGCACATGACCACACACATTGAATTATGTATTAATGTGCCAATCAATTAAAAACATTGTGCTGTTCTTGGAATACTGTTCAGTCAATATATTGCTCGGTAACCACAGCCTGTTGTTAATGACCTGCATTGCCTGGTCGAGGAACTTTTCATTGAGATTAATATTGATAATAAATTAAAGGATCACTTTGGCCAAAAAAAATGCATCTTTATTTATTAGCCTCTACATCAATGGACTTCTTTATCGCCATAGCGGGATTTCTAATGACTGTTAGACTTCAACACAAACACAACACAAGCACAAAACATTTCTAACAGTGTGAGTTCTGTCAAAAATTGGCTTAATATATTATAATTTCATGCCTAACAACACCCCTCAATAGCACAAAATCATTGCAACACATGACCTCTCATAGCTTTTTGTTTAGATAGATAAACACAATCCAAGTCCACAATATTAACTTCCAGTTAGATAACACTGACCTGGAGAGTATTTAAGTAACATTTCAAGTGTAATAAATTGTGGTTTGGCACAAACTCTTGCAGACTATGATAAGGACTACATAAAAGCGCAAACATCTACACAGACACAAAGGATATGAGGGAGCACCTCCCCAGTAGTGATGCTTCCCCAGAATGCAGTGAGGCAACATTTCAGTTCCCAGCGTTTGACTCGTGTGATGTCGGCCCAACGTAAACACCGCGGCTGGGTCATGCTCCGCCCCACCCTGTTTACAAATCACCCCCATTACCTCAGAAACACGTCCAACGGAGCAAACAACCTTTAATACGACATGGCATCTAAATGTCTCCACTCTCACACCAGACAACCAGGCGTCCAGATGCGTTTGATTTTACGTTTTATAAGGGTTCTGAAGGGCTCCGGAAACTCAGGCGCTCCTGCCTCAGCAAAGCCAAGCACGTGTTTGCCTAGCGCCCCTTTTCTAACCCTAAACACTCCCTTACAAACCCAGGCCTGCTAGCCCCCTACTCCCTAAGCCCCACGCGACCTGTGGCCTCCTCTTTACGAGGACAATATGCACAGAAAGCAGAATGCAGCTAGTCTGAAGCCAATGACTCATGTTTTGTGCTCATGTTGTCTGAAAGGATCTCAAGAACTTCCTCAGATTGACCTTTAGCATTGCTCTGCTAACTGGGAACGCTAGTGTTAGAGGAAAGATTGCAATTGAATTGAGAAGAGAAGAGAAGAGAAGAATAGAGAAGAAGAAAGGAGACATGAAAAAGAGAGAAGAATAATAGAGAGAAGAGAAGAGAAGAAATTAGAAGAGAACAGAAGAAGAGATGAGAAGAAATGAGAAGAATAAAGAAGAGAATAATTGAGAAGAAATTGAGAGGAGATGAGATAAAAGGAAATGAGAAGAGAGGAAAAAGTATAATTGAGAAGAGAACAGAAGAGGAGAAAACAGAACAGAGAAGAAGAAAGGAGACATGAAAAAGACAGGAGAAAAACTGAGAAGAGAAGAGAAGAGATGAGAAGAAACATAAAAAGGAGAGGAGAAGAGAATGGAAGAAAAGAAAAGAGAAGAGAACAGACGGGAGTAGGAGCTTTGTGGTCAGGCTGAACTCTCTCAGGAGTGGAGGGAGTGATGGAGAATGTGTTTACTCTCCCTGCTGCCTGTTTATGTATCTTCTATCTTAATGAACACTGCATTATTTCTCTCAGGAAGAGAATTTCAATGACGTTAAGTTCTATTTTATAGTCTATAAACACACTTAAGACTCTGAAGCCTGCAGCAGCGGGGGGGAGGAGGGTGGGGGTCGAGGGGGGACATCGCTTGTGGTCCGACACTGGACTAACCTGCTTTAAATCTCGGGCTTTATAGTAAACAGCTCAGGACATCTCTACAGGGCTTTCCAAGCAGAATTTATTTTATTTACATCAGTATATTTCTGCCAGAGTGGCCCTTGAGATTTCACAAAGCCTATCTGGTAACCAAGGAGGACCCAAACAACAGCACTGAATCACTCCGGAGCTATTGTGCTGTTGTGTTTGGGAAAGGTCCAGTTGAGGAGCAGAGAGAGAGAGAGAGAGAGAGAGAGAGAGAGTGTGTGTGTGTGGTGAGAGAGAGAGAGAGAGAGAGAGAGAGAGAGAGAGAGAGAGAGAGAACACTGTGTTTTTGGCAGTTAATTCAAACCCAAATCTTTACTGTCATATCATAACCATGTAGCTCCAATTTTTTCAGCTTTTATTGTTTTATACCATTTGAAAACAGCAGCTGCCTTTTACACTGTGTAAACATTTCATGATCAATAGAAGGGACTAATAAAAATAGTCCAACATTACTTGGAAAGAACATTAAAGGGCCCATATCATGAACATTTTCTTTTTTTTTTAAGAGTTTAATATATTATGCAAATATTCCTTCGAAACATACCTTCACTGTCCAGTCCATATAAGTAAACTAAGCGGCAAAAATAGCTTGTTCTGAATGCATTGTTTTTGTGATGTCACAAAGACCAACACATTTACATGTCGCTGCTGTCGGAGCAAAACCTTGTATCTCCATTTTTATCATTTTTCAGTTTTTGACATAGTTTGAAAATGTCTGCTGACCTTTACATTATGTCTTAATTTCATGATTAATGGACCAAAAGAAACGGCCCAAAATTACTCTGGTTCCAAAAAGTCTGGTTCCATTTATTTACTTTGAAAGTAAAGTAAGTTTTTTCCTTCTTCTGTAAAGTTACCATTTTGGAGATACAAGGTAGCGAAATACCTATTAGCCCTACAGCAGTTTAGCTCCACCCACTCACGTGTAAGAAGGAGTTTTTCAGCCCAGAATGAATTGAATGAATGAAACATAATACAGGGCAATTAGAGATCATTTACATATGTCTTAAAGACACTGTAACAAAAACATCTATTTGTTCTGTATATTGATTTAATAATTTTTTACTAGGGGATAAAGAGATATTAGAAAATGTTCATGTAAAATGATTTATGATTTATGTTTTTTAGTATATAAAACCACACAAAGGTCTGAAGTGTCAAAAAACAGTGTAGGATATGGGCCCTTTAAAGTTAAGAATGTTTCGGATCTATGAGTTTTTCTTATGACTGCAATGCAGTGAGTGAACTTCAGATGTCTCTGTAAACACATTCTTATAACAAATGAGAGGCAAATAAAAGCAATAACGCGAAATCTCTCAGGAACCTCGCTGATAAAATCCTCACCATCTGTTTAAAAGATAATCCATGCATGGATGCATGGATGCATGGGCTCAGGCAGATGGAGTTCATTCAGTAAACTCTTCCTGGACTCCATTCGCTCTCATTCATGGTCCACTTCGACAGCTGAGAGCCCTCACCACCAGTCTCCCCGCTCGGCCGTGTCAGGATCACTACTTTAGATCCTGCTGTCACCTTTCCAGAAACCGCAAACCACAAACAATGCACTCAGACCAGATGTGTCCACTTTGGACAAAAAGCTGTTGACCTCCAAAACTGGACCTGAGACAGGACAAAATAAACACAGCCGTGGAAAGCCGTGAAGAAAGAGTGTCTTACAGCCACAGGCGCTCGCACAAAAGGGTGTCAAACACAAACCTGATAAGTGCTGTGCTGGACGCTGCCTGAATCTGCGGATTCACGGCAAAAGTGCACAAGTACACATGTCCAGCCTGCTGATCTCGGACACATATATGGCCTGTGCATGTGTGTGTTATGTATTCAACAAGACAAATCATTTCCTTCACACTCAGGAGAGATATCTCATAAAGGGGGATATCTTAGTAAGGTGGACAACATAAGCCAAAAGTGTAGAATGTCCAATGGGAATGTTCCTGACCTCTTATTGCTCATGCTTGATTTTTTGGCTAACTGAGAAAAATCTTCATCTGAGATATAAAAGGATATGCTGAACTGCAGCTAACCAAAACATCAAGCTGTTAATCACTACACATTTGCCACCATGTTAACATTAGCTCAGTTACACAGCTATGCTTGATTTCAAATACATACAGGCTTACTAGCATATATAAATAGAAGGAGAGATTTTGTTTATTTGCATTGGCTTGACCATAGCAAGCCATTGCTATGAAACCTCAGGTGGTTGCTAAGGTCTTGCCAGGCTGTTTCTATGTTATCCTAGGTAGTGGCTAATGTGTTATGAAACTGTTGCTATAGTATCCCAGGTGGTTGCTAATGTGTGCGTGTATGTGCAGAAATTCTTATCACCACCCCCCTCTTTGGGACACCAACCCCAAGTAGTGGTCATTCCATTTTATGGCCCAAAGTTTTTTTTTCTGATTATAACTTTGTCCAGCTGTGTGGCTGTTGTGAGCTGTTATAAGTTAAGGCCTGGCTTTTGTTCGTCCTCTCTGTTGCTATTTCCCTCTTTCCTCCTGTCTCCCTCCTCTGCTTTGGCTTCATCTCTACATGACCCAAGATGTAAAAAATACTATCCATGAAACTAAATTCTTTAGATTAAAAAAAACACTAAAACTTTCATCACCAAACTTTTCAGCATCAGGGAATATTGTAGGCCTGCAACCTGTCTGACCCTTAACTACCACTTTTAACTGCATGGCAAATTTATATGCTATATGTGTTGTACAAAATGATAAAATATAAGTGTTGCCGTGTGGCAACAGTATATAATAGTGTTACTGCAATCTGCAATGCACACACTGTAAGTAAATGAATACACTGCCACTGTCACATTCCAAGCTGATGATTTTTCAATATAGTTTTCATATCTTTCTCTATTCCAAAAAATAGTTATGCATTAATGTTTTGCATTTTGTTGCCATATTCAATTCTTTAAATTAATGTTCATCACTGTACACATAAAAAAATGGGAAACGCATTTTTTTCATGTATATTTCACGTTTCATACAGTAAGAGGTTAAAATATCCTCCGCGTCCACTGTGGGGCGCTATAGCGTGAGTATGCTACACTTTCCCCTCACCATAACAGGACATGACGGTGTTGACAACAGTCGCCGGGCTGTTTGTTGCCACTGCGGAGCCTTTTGTTCGGTTTGATGCCCACTTTTCCTAATTCCTGCAAATAAGAACGGCAAACAGCATTTCAGTACCGTTAAAGATATCAGTAGTACTCAAAACGTTTAAACGAATCTCGTTTCCCAAGTAAGTGCTCAATTTCTGGCAAGCTAGTGCTGAAGCATTGTAGTGGAGAGCTAGTGGGTTAGTTAGGCGTTGTTAACAGTAGGCATTCAGAAACTGGAGCCTAAAAAGAGGCATTTAGGCGATGAGCGTGTGGTGGTAAATACCAGCATCTGCTTAGTTAACAAGGAAATATATTTATTTTAGCTGCCTAGTTAGTAAGAATTACAATAAAGTTGACTGCAGATTGTAAACAGCTGAAATAATGCAGCTAGCTGCGCTAGCGCTGCTGTTGCCGCGCAGCAAGCAAAGCTGGCTAACGTAAAGGAGAACTCCACCGATTTAAAATAAATCTACATATTTAAATGGTTGAGATGTCAGCAAAGTCAGTCCGAGTGGTTTGTTTTGAAATGCTCCCTTCTAGACAAGTTTACCAAGTCAGAATTGTTCACAGTGGTGGTGATGAGAACCAGACGTCCACCGCTAAAAGCACCTTCTCAGAAAGTTATTGCATGAAGTGGTTATGAATAGCGTTACACTGCCTGATGTCTCAGACATTGTTTTTTTATAGTTTCGTGATAAAGTTTTGGCTAAAAATGTATTTTAATCTAGCAATGTAATCCATTCATGGTGCAGAGGTACGTGCAGGACGTTGTGAGGCAAAATAGTCCCCAAAGCAAACTTACTTTTTTAGATTTTCCACTATTTTACCATAATCAACAGTACATATAAACACTTAAAAGGTACTTTGGGTTCACTGATGGTTTTTGATAGTAAATATATATTTGTGCTGTACACATGGTGACCCTTTCTGTCACCACCACTGTAAAGAAATGAACCATTTCACACCAAACCACTCTCAATAACTGTTTACATCTGAACCACTGAATTATTCAGAAATTTGAGAATTTGGTGGATTTTTCCTTTAAATTTGCAAGTGTTAACTTTTTAAACTTTGTTTTATGAGAGGATGGTACTACAAACACAGATGTAGGTTACTGATGCATTTAAAGTATTTCCAAAGGTATTTTCTTAAGTAATGCCAAACATAAATGCTGACAAATCATTATGCTTTTAGAAACATGGTTATGTGTTACTGTGTGGTATGGCAATATTAATGTCCCAGATATTTAGTGTGGTAAATGAAGTGATCCAACATACAACTATACTACTACTATGTAGATGTATAAACTGCGGTATGACCAAGTTCTCTCTCTGGATGAACACAGGAACCAAACCCTCCAGAAGCCACAGTTAACACTTTTCAATCGGAAGATGTTATTCAGTAGTTGTGGTATCAATACATACTTCACATTTAGGTTAATAAATGGCTAAATCTTCCTGTTTTTGGAAGTAAGTGCTGATAGCAGGTGTCATGCCTTTAGTACAGTCAGGACATGGCCGATGGTTAGCAAAGTTGCAAATGTTGTAGGGTCCAGTGCAGCGTATTGAAACTCTTCTTTGTACTGTTTGGGAAAGTGTCGAGGAAACACACAGCTCCAGAGGGTACAGCAATGGCGACAGCCTCCATAAGCCATTAAAGCCGCCCCGATGTCAAATTACCACCTAAATTTGGTAGGCTACACTCACAGGGTGACCTGCAGTCATGGAACATCAACAACCATGCCATCAGTAACATACTACATAGTCAGCATATTAGATGTATAACCAATACGTCTTTTATTTTTTTCAGGGTACATGTGAAAGGGGCATGCATTTGTAAAAGCATAAGTTTATTCGGTCCAAAGAAGCCTCATGGAACCTGTGGAACAGAGTAATGATGTGGCGCTGGACATTATCATTACGAACGTGGTTTCTGTCTTTAGAACCAGGTGCCATCTGAACCTCCGCACCATTGGCCTGGAGGGGAATAACGTTATCTATAAGCCAGAAGTTGGAGTAAGTAACAGCAAACATTAGTCACATTTAGAGCCTGTTTACTCTTGTTTTTTGTCATGTGTTATGTTCACATTGTGTACAGATAAGAATTATCAACAATCCATTTACACTTGGCAGCTAAAATGCGTCTCTCTGTTGGACAGAAATCCGATTGGACAGCAATCCAATTTGCACCAGTGCTGCTTTTCCCACCATGCATATTAATCCACGGAATTCCCTTCAGGAATCTCCTGAAATGATGCTGTGCACGTAAATTTTGCTTTGTGCAGTTATGCATTTAATCACAGCTAAAGGGAGAAATGGGCTCCAGTTTTATGTTGTAAAAGGCTACAGGAGCTGTTATGAGCAGCTTTTTGTCTATAATTCATTTTCACTAACAACATAGTTCCATTTGGGAGAATTAAAGATTACATGTGGGGCTTGAAGAAACAGATGTGTTGACACATGGCCTAGCTAAGCGCTTGAATAGCAGTCAATCTCCAGTGCATCTTGGTTGCAATTATATTTTGCTTTTTCACAATTGGATAGCTGCCCGATCAGCGTAAAGTCTGGTGTATATTACATGATTTTATTGCCCCTTCTGACATATTTTAACAATTGTAAGTGAACTTCCTGGTCAGGATGATCTGGCAGTGTGTGAGAGGGAACCAGCCCTCTTTAGCTTCCTGATGTAGTTCTGGAGTGATCGGAGCTTCCCGATGTTTTCAAGAATGCTTAATGTATACTACTCTGAACGTTCATGCACGTTTAGACTGCGAGATAAGGGATGTAACAATCCATCAATCTGTATCAATGCATCGATCAAATAGCAGATGATCCGGTGTCACTGATGCATTGGTGTTTTTTCATACCTGTTCCAACGCTTACACAACGCAACAAGCTTACACCGCATGCTGCCACCTACAGAGTAGGAGCGTACAGAGAGGAATCATGTAGATTCGTGTTACAGAAACGTCCTGTCTTTTCGTCTTAACTTAAGATCTGACAGGTCAAGATAAGATTTTTCACAAATTCTTTTTTGCAACTCATTTTAATTTAGAAATCTTATATTGCAGCATCTTATCGCAAGTTAGGAAATCGTAACCTACTCGATAGAAGTCGACAATCAACTGTCATGTCTGTTACCTATCAACCGACCATACATGCACAGCTGAAACATAAACACAATAAAAAAAAATCGAGGTTATTAGCCAGACAACTAGCCACTGTTACTGATGTAAAAAAGGTCAAACAAGCTAAAGCGTGAAAAACTTGAAGTTAGGAATATTGTGACAGCGTGTTGTGCTGTTTCTCAGAGCGTCGCTGCTCCCCAGTTTGTTTCCCAAATTCTTTAGCAGCCAGACATTAGCTCTGTCTCCTCATCATTCACCACCATCACTGTAATATCTGACAGGGTGTCATCAACATTAACACACAAAGGTAATAAGAGGGGGCGGTGGAGATTATGTCTGCAGTGTCTGGGTTTTTTAAAACGCTGTTAGAAAAAAATACAAAAACAAGGGGAAACTGGTGCTCAGGCTCAGGCTCGCACTCTGCTCTCACTGCTAGCTGGCTAGCCTAATCTGTTCACACTGTTTACCTCAGTATGCAGCCTTGCCCATCAAAATGAGTCCTCACAACAAAAGACTAAATAACTGCTCCTAAACAGAATAACTGTACTGAACTCAGGGGTGCTCTTATGCTACAGTATCTTTATATCGACTATAGACCCCAGTATCGAACTGAATCAAATCACGTTCCAGCATAGCATTGAGGTATTGAAAATCGTCGGATCATTGGCTAAAAGAGTCGATGTAGGATCACATCGTGATGAAACCTGTTGATTTACACCCCTATGTGAGATGCGCATCAATAACCAGAAGGCAAACTCACATTGGCTTGCCAGTTCATAGTAAAATGCCTCTCAGATTCTCACTGCGGAATAAAATATATCCACAGTTCTCTACCCCATATTCATTCAAAATTTACTCTCTTTGTATATACTCAAAAGCACAAACAAGTCCAGTGCAGCTTTTGTTTGTTTCTATCACTCTAGAACAGCAAAATCTGAGATTTTGAGTGCTTCTTTGTAGCTGTTTGGTTCCCTCTCTCTGACTAATCATGGTGCATGCAGACAAGAAGTTCTGTAAAAGACTGATGTTATGTGTGAGATGTTCTTTGCTTGTCAACCCCTTAAATGGACAGGGCCAGTTTTATTACACACTTCTATAACCTAAGACTAAGCCAGTTCTCATTGAATTCCCTGTGGTTACAGAATAATAAGCCTTAGTATGTAATAAGCCTGGAATTGTAAGGGGTTAATGAAGCTATATGTACCGAAAAGGCATCATTGTTTCATTTCTTCTGTCACTGCAGAAAGTTCTGATGAAGCTACGGAAACCTCGCATCACTGCCTCCATATGGTCATCAGGGAAAATCATTTGCACTGGAGCAACAAGGTCTTTAAATGAAAGACAACTCTGCATTCTATGGTCTTCTAGTTTGTAAATGTTGTGCACTAATAATTTGTCAATTTTATTTCTCTCTGTAGTGAGGATGAAGCTAAACTCGGAGCCAGAAGGTTAGCCCGCTGCCTCCAGAAGATAGGTTTCAAGGTTTACCTTTTGCTTTGTTGGACCTTTTGAATTAATATTTATACTGAATATGACGAGTCAGGTGGTATAAAACTGCTGTTGTGTGTGTTTCTCTCCTGCAGGTGAGGTTTTCAGACTTCAAGGTTGTAAATGTCCTGGCAGTCTGCTCTCTGCCTTTTCAGATCCGTCTCATTGAGTTCACTAAGAACAACCGTCCCATTGCCAGGTACTACTGACAAAAAATATCCTTTATTTTTACTTAAGACACAAACTGATTTTGCTTTTAGATTTTGCTCTTAGTTAGGACACTTAGAGGTTAATAGATTTAAGGAGAATTTCTCTGATCACTGTAGTGGTAGAGTAACAGCTCCCTCTTGTGGTAATAAGGCAACAGAGCACACCAGTTTCCAAGAGGCAGATTATGTCCATCTCAGGTGGACAAAGTAATGCATAAGCTAATTCCTGGCCTTTTAATATGTATTATTGCTTTGAGTTAATTCATTTATTTATTGTATTTTGTTGGTTTGTGTTACCTTTTTTCAGTTATGAGCCTGAGATTCACCCTGCTGCATCATACAGAATCAAAAACCTCAGGGCCACAGTGCAAGTGTTCTCTACAGGCAGTATAACAGTAACAGGTAAAGGCTGCACATCAGGATGAAGTCTGTGTTTGCTGTAGAAAGAGCACAATTGCCGCAAGATATCAGGAAGGCCTCTTTTCTTTCACTATATGGATTAGCTGAGACATCTATATGGATTAGCTGACACATCTCATTCAACCTGATAATTAACTGATGTATAGGTTTCCGGCCTGCCCTGCACACTGTAGTGTTTCCTGCTTTAACTTTAACTTTCCTGCTTAATTTCTGAATCAGCTGATTAGTTGGAACAGATGTGTTAGTATGGAAAATGTTAATGTGCTGTGCAAGGGGTATGTGAGGAAGAAGATTGTGAATTGCTGAACTAGTACATTGAATCAGATGTGATGGACTAGCGAAAGCACTAAACTGTGCAGTGACCCTCCATGAATGGAATTTAGAAACCTGCCAAGTAAGGCAAGTCTAATCCCCTGATTTAACATGCATTAATATAAGTATAATGCTGGATGTAAAGAGTATTTGCTTAATTCCATATTATTGTGCCTTCTGTGGCCAACAGATTTAATTAAAATGTAAGGAAAATGCTACAGGATTTGTCCTTATTGAGTGCTGTTGCTGTATTTTCCTATGGAGGATAAACCGATTACAGTATTAGCCACATAACTTTAAGACTTAGCCATTGATTTAGCTACAGTTGAAGGCACAAGCTACCATCTTGAAGTGCTCTTTCTGCAGCTAATAGGCTAACAAGCAGTGCTGTAAGCAGCTGAATTTTTCCAAATTATAAACATATATTGTGTACAGTACTGTGCAAAAGTTAGAGACAACTCTTAATTTATTTCATTTCCAATTAAAATGGAACAAGTTGTTCATTTTTCAGAATACATTTCTGAGGAGATTAGATGTAAGAGTTGCATAAGGAAGAGGAAAAAGGAAAATAAGTGGGGGGGGGGAAACAAGAGTTTCCAAAACTAGAGTTTAAAAATTGGTTAAAAGCTACAGCGAAAATGGGATTTAACAACCATGTAAGGCCTGGTTGACCACCCAAACTGCCCCCATCAGATAAACAGCACTTAAAGCTTTTATCTTTGAGAGAGAGGAGAAAATCAAGCTCCACTCTTCAGATCTGCAATAAAATCCACAGGTGTTTCTGTCCATCCACTGTGAGAAGACAACTCAACGCTATGAGTCTGAAAGGATGCGTAGCTGTCAAGAAGCCCTTACTGACAAAAGACGATTAAACAAAGAAGCTGCTGGTGTTTCTCAGAACAATGGACTGACCATCCCAGAGTCCAGACCTCAACATCACTAAATATATTTGGAATTATTTGGATTGTCAGAAGCACTGAACTTTAGAGGTGTGGAAAAATGTCCCTGCAGATTTCTTTGAAAAACTGAAAGCAAATCTCCAGTAAAAGAATGGAAGCTGTAATAAAGGCAAAGGGTGGACACAGTAAATACTGAAAAATAGAGGCTTTTGTGTTTGTTTTTTTTTAATTGATGTTGAAAATGAGTTACTTAATGGCTGTTTTGACTGGAAATTAAATAAATGAAGGGTGGTTTCTGACTTTTGCACACTACTGTATATAAATTGTTACTCAATACACTCAACTATAGGCAGCATTACTAAGTTAAGTAATCTGTGCAGCTCCATTACTCCAGTTTTTCAGTAATTCCAGGTGATTTTACCTTGTCAAGTGTATGAGGTACAATAATGTGTTTTGTTTTGCAGTTTGAATGTAGTCTTTGATTACCTGATCCACTCCCTTTGACTTTCACTTTTTCTTTCTCTCTAGGACCAAATGTTCAGAATGTTGCCATGGCTGTGGAACAGATATATCCTCTACTGCTTGAGTGTCAGAAAACACTGGTGTAAAATACACAAACACACACACACATGCACCGTCTGAAATGAAGAAGCACCTTATGAGTGAATGTGTTTGTGTTCCAAGACTTTAAACTGTTGTACTGTACTGCACAGCTCTTGTCAGTTCAAGTCTGAGCAGGCCTGGGTTGGTTGCCCTTTGAGCTCTGACCTCTCACAGAACATTGGACACTTTTGTAAAGTTCAGTAAAAGGCCTCGTCATCCTGTAGTTCCTAAGTATTTTAGTGCATGGTCACCAAAGTGGATCTGTCAATGAAAAACAGTGACTATATTTTATACAGAGATGGAAGCAAGTTTTACTGGAGTGATGCCTGGTGATAGACGAGGTTGGAGGATAGAGGTTGAAGGGCAAACACCTTAGAGACATTAAACAGGATATGATGTACTATGATGTAATTTACCTACTGCATTCTGTTGAACTAGATTGTGAGACCGTCTGCGGTATACATGTTTATGTAAATGTTCTCATTTTGTATTTTATAATAAAGAACAAATAAAATAACCCTTATGCTTCTTATTTGTTCTTTCATATTGCAAGTGCAAACCACAGCGTCATCATATGGGTTTAGTATGAGACGAGTATGAATGTAAGATGAATGTAAGGCTGGTGATGGGGATGTGGTGGAATATGAAAACTCACAGCAACAGAAAGGTTGGAGAGGTTGGAGGAGCTTCCAATGTGGTTCTACTCATGACCCTTTGTTATTTCATGACTATATAAAGTATGTGGATGACCTCTTCCATCGTATACAATAGTGAGATTAAATAGGTCTACTGTGGATTTGAATATTATACCCTATTACAGGGGTTGGCAACCCAAATGTTAAGAAGAGCCATTTTGTCCTTTCAACAAAAATCAAACCTACTTGGGAGCCACAAAATGTCTGTCCATTTTACCATTTTGGCTGTAAACATGTCTCAGTATGTGCTAGTAGTTTCTTGTAAAATGTCAATGTTCAACTTTACGAGACTGAAATCAGCTTCTCATTTCCCAGCTTATTGTTCAAATTTTGCCATTCCACCTTAAAAGGTGCCTGAGGTGGCAGAATGTAACTGTTGGACCATTTAAGGTGGAACGGAAAAACTCCAATTTACTTATTTTTCCTTCCTTTCTTTAGTAATACTTTGTAAACAAGTTCAGCAAATAATGTTAATTTAGGACAGTGCCAGCAATACCATTTTCTATAAAATCATTTTATATCAGGCCTAGCCATAATTTTTAATTTCTCAGATGTTTGTAACTTTTGTCTCTTGAGGAGATTAAAAACTAGTTAGAGCTTGTATGCAGGACAGTAATCTGGGTGGCCAGACAGTGGACCAACAGTGGCAAAGAGTCAAAGAGTGCCAACTTCATCGACCTTATCAAGCCAGTGGACCGATATATGCTCACTATCTGGGTTAACTCCAGCGTTTAAGACCATTTAATGTTTAAACTGTGTCAGAATGATCAGCAGAGCTTTATTTTACTGCAAAGGAGGATTATTTTATTTTTACCTAAAAATCTAATTCTGCTGTGGAGCCGCAACAGGACAGTAAAAAAGCTGCATGCGGCTCCGAAGCCACATGTTGCCGACCCCTTCCATATTCTTATTCAACCCTTCAGAGGACTGAGGGATTATTATATATAAAGGTAGCCAAACTGAGGGCACAAGGAACAGATGCCTCCTAATGAGAACAGAACAGCCTGTTAAGGTGACTGGGCCACTAAGCCAATTACATTAACCAAATTTTACCCAACAGAACAACATTTGGCTGCTGTGCTTTACATTTGATACTTTTTAAGTCAATTCCCCCCATTCACAGCGGTTAAACTTAAGTTCTTCATTGCATATACTCATAACAATAATATGATCATATCAAAACCTGCCTGTCTGTTTTGTCATGATTTGAAAATGGCAGCTGCATTTTACACTGAGTGAACATTTCATGATGAATAGGCCAATAGAAATGGTCCAGAATTACTTGGAGCAAAGTTACCAGTTCTAAGATGCAAGGCTTTGTTAATGATCTGAGTTCTAGACAGCAATAGGATGATTCATTCAAGATGCATGACACCATATACAAACAATTCATAACACTTGCTGAGAAAAATGTATGAATCTATTGAAATAATCTTAAAACAAAATCACAACAAAAAGTCTGATTTTTCAGGGCTTTACAGATATTCCCATACCTGTATGCGTACCAAAACTACACTACACATTTTCAATGGATGATTTAAATCAGGTGCTTAAAAAAGATTAAGACAAACACTTTTTTTAACTCCTCTCTGTGCTGTGTCACAGTGTCAGAAACAGCTAATTCTTAACATTACATCAGTAGCCATTTCACTGTATTCTAGGGTTACTGTGCTCAGAGCAGTCTTGTAAGCAACCACACTCCTATCTTCTAATAATCAGATCAGCCATCCTTCCATCACTGCTCCATCAAACTCCTGGGTTAATTTCATTAATGTATTATTCTCTCTCTCTTGAGTGCAGATTTAGACTGTTGCTAGGGACTTTTCCTCCGGCGGTAGGTCCGTTTTGGGCTTCTTTCGCCATGTGTGGCACAAAAGAGTGCTGTCAAGGTGGTTCCTGCAAAACAAGTCAGGCCAGTAATACAGCATTTTGATGTGAAATGCTTCATTGTAAAGAAATGTACTGTCTATTTACAGTGGTGGTGATAGGAACCACAATGTATTCAATGCAAATATAGCCTTTTTGTTTACTATGTATAGTATACTTCCATACTATAGCCTTCTTAGATATTAGTATTGCCAAAGTCAGTACTGTGATGTACTGTACTGTAATGAAAATTATGACCCGTGCAAAACTTATGGCACATTTTATATGTTGTGGCACTCCCTTTAGAGGATGTGTTAAATTAGAAAATCAACAAAATCAATAAAACATGTAACTTGTACATACAACTAATATATATATATATATATATATATATATATATATATATATATATATATGTATATGTATATATATATAACACACATTTATATATATTAACACCGATCAGGCATAACATTATGACATTGTTTCTACGCTCATTGTCCATTTTATCAGCTCCACTTACTATACAGGTGCACTTTGTAGTTTTACAGTTACAGACTATAGTCCATCTGTTTCTCTGCATACTTTATTAGCCCCCTTTTACCCTGTTCTTCAGTGGTCAGGACCCCCATGGAGCCTCACAGAGCAGGTACTATTTGGGTGGTGGATCATTCTCAGCACTGCAGTAACACTGACGTGGTGGTGGTGTGTTAGTGTGTGTTGTGCTGGTATGAGTGGATCAGACACAGCAGTGCTGCTGGAGTTTTTAAACACTGTCCACTCGATTAGACACTCCTACCTTGTCAGTCCACCTTGTAGATGTAAAGTCAGAGACGATAGCTCATCTGCTGCTGCACAGTTTGTGTTGGTCATCCTCTAGTCCTTCATCAGTGGTCACAGGACGCTGCCCACAGGATGCTGTTGGCTGGATATTTTTGGTTGGTGGACTATTCTCAGTCCAGCAGTGACACTGAGGTGTTTAAAAACTCCAGCAGCACTGCTGTGTCTGATCCACTCAGGCGAGTGCAACACACACTAACACACCACCACCACGTCAGTGTTACTGCAGTGCTGAGAATGATCCACCACCCAAATAATACCTGCTCAGTATATATTCACATGCTGATGTGCACAGTGTGATGTGAGCAGTGACGGTGTGTAGTTATAATGGTAAAGAGTGAAATACTTTTTCCTAAACTGTTTTTCGGGCTGTCTGTAGCCCTTAGAAGTTGCAGTTGTCACGGATGACATCATTTTATATTAATAATTTCTTTCACAGCTCATTGAAATAAGCTGCGAAAATCTATTGAAAGGACAGATTTTAAGTTTTAATTGATATTCTATTTGTGTTTACAAAGTAAAGGAGGAGATTTTATTGTATAATGATCTGAATTGGATAGTTATTTTTGTGTTGTTTTAAGAAAAGAAAAATTTTCCTTTACTACAGTAAGAATTCTTTACTTCTAAAAGTAAATGAGCTTACATTGTTTGTTCATCATGGAGGTAGACTCACAACTCTGGAACCAGTTCAACTTGACTGATAGATGATCACGGCCACTCTGACTGCAGCTGAATGAAATGTGAACATGGCAATACAATGTGTGTGTGTGTGTGTGTGTGTGTGTGTGTGTGTCTGTCCTCACTTCATGGCAAGCTCTTTGGAGATCTGCTCCAGCGATCGTCCCTTCGTTTCCGGCACAAATGCCATCACAAACATCAGCAGCACGAAGCTCATAGCAGCGTAAATGAAGATAACACTGGGTAGGCCAATCCTCTCTGCAACCACACAACAACCTTACTATAGTGTCCTATATTACAATCACAAAAACCTCCACAGTATGTCATAGAGCAACCTCTAAATCTGTATTAGAGGTTTAACATTGTTTAAAAATAGTCTAAATGTTTAAAAAAGAAAGAAAAAACAATAAAAATGAACTAATGTACAGATAAAAAGTATGCTTCAAGATGGCTACTACTGTTTTTAGCTGCGCAAAAACAGTAGTTTTTCTATTCTATTAATTTTCCATCCATATGTATAGATAACAGTATGCCTGATCTCCATCTAGAAAACACACAATGCAGTTTGAGATATTCAACAACTTGACACGGTTTGAGAAAAGACTGATGATTCATGCAGGCAGTTAGCATGATGCTAATTTCTGAGGCATAAGCTTTCATTAAGCTTGTTAGCTTCATTAGTCTCATAACTCTAGTGCGAATCTAAGGAAGCAAACTGCAGGCACCAAACACACTGTACAGTCATAAGCAAAGGTATGGATACCCCTGGTAAAATATTTGTTGATTTTCTAAGTGAAAATAATTTCACTAATTTTCACAAATTTCAGCTGCACTATGGGAAAAAACAATAAATCAACAGTAATTATGCATTAAAATGGGACAAAGGGGCGCACAAACTTTGCATACAACTGTATACTGGATGATCAACTACATTTGGGTATTTTTCGCTGAACTATCACTTTAAAATAAGAGCTTAAAGCACAAAAAGAGATGTTTAGCAATTTGTCGCCGGTATCTTCATATATTTTGTGGAAAAAATATTTAATCTTTATAGGATTACCTCTCCCATTCATGAGCCTTTGGCTTTTAGGTTCATTTTCATTAGCCAAGTCACTTTTCATGCACTCACTGTTTATAGACTCTTTTGATGACAGGCTTAACTCTCTTATGTAAGGTGCACTGTGCCTGAAGGTTAGGCTGAGTCAGAGCTTCTTTCAGGTCTTCAGATCAACTGTTTCACTCACGCAGACACATCGTGATCTCTGTTCTGACAGTAGCGGGGTGTGAATAGCTCTCTGTGTTATCCAGTTAGATAATGCTCTGATAGAAATGCTATAGCTGGCAGTTGTTGGTATTTATATCCTTTACCCAACATTATCACCTCAAACCCACATTTGAGTACTTATTTAAATTAAATTTATTTATTTATTACTTACAATAATCATTGCTAAGACCTCTTTTTCTCCTCTGTCTCTTACTGATTATAGCTCAAAGGTCAAAGATGTTAGTTTTAGGTTGAACATCATTCACACAGTTTTCTAAGAAAACCAATGACACTGTAAAGACAAACACTTTCGGGAAAGTTGTTCAGACATGTCTAACCAAAATCACAAGCAAATGCTCAAGTCGGCCCATGTGACCTGTCTGATTTGCCTTTAGCAGCATTTTCATTAACCGAGCATAACAAAATCTGTGATGATTCCAGAATCAGTCAACATTGAGTTCTATATAGAGCCATTTTATGCTTAAATAATTCTTTGCATGGTGAATGATTTCTCAGATGGACAATGTGTTGTATATGGTTCTATATAGATTTATGGTTCAATATAGCACCAAAAAGGGTTATTTATTGTGAGAGGCTTGACATCGTAACAGTAGCAGAACCATTTTTGGTGTTATATAGAACCATTTTAAAAAAAAATATACCACAGTCTTCATCAATCTGAGGAATCATTCACTCACTCAAAGAATTACATTAACCCAAGGCATGCGTGAACATTTTTACTGAGAGCTGTTATCATCAGCCTTCTTTGTTATCATTAAGCAGTAGGTTTATAACACATGGATAAGCCATTAACCTTCTGGCTTGCATGAACTATTATGAAAAGGATTATCTAATGAAAGTCATTGCTTAAGAGATTACACAACATTCCACCATGAATCTCCAATAATATCCACGAAAACATCTGAAAACCTCTCACAGATCACACAGTCATCACTTGCTAATTATTGACATTGGTTGATTTTCAATTATTTAAGTTATGGAATTCCAGTTATCTGTAATTTCTAAACAAAACTGAACTAATTATTAATTTTTGAGGTCAATAATTGCTGACTGCCCTAATAATAATAAGAAAGCTTTGTCAATTCAGATGTTTATAACTTGGACATGCAAATGAATGAATGTTACTCTAGGCTTATTATTCAGTTATTATCCAGTAACTACAATATTCAATTAAAAAAAACAAAAAGGTTTGTTATTATATAGTAATTACATACATACAGCTCCCTCACCCCATCTCTATGATTTTGCTGTTTATCAGTAAGAACACTGACCCTGCTGGATCGAAAGTCTTTTGGTGGATCCATGTTAGGGGTGTCATGATTAATAACATAATACAATAATAAAACTATCGGTTACATTTTACTGTTTGATAAACTGACAATAATTAGTTGAAAGTTTGCATGATGACAATGCGTTTTTTAAATTCCGCTGGTCTTTCTAACAGTAAGAAACAGCCTGATGGACACAGCCATTTATATGCATTATACGCAGAATGTTTGTATATCTTTTTAAATGAAGGCTTCTAAGTTTATCTTCTCTGATGAGTATTTTAGAATCTTTGAGTATGTAAGGCTTTTTATTGTTAAGTCTACTTAGTCTTTAAAAGAAAGAAACTATGTCACTATGTCCACATTTAATTGTGTTGCAGAGCTATAAAAGAGCAACGTTAGGAGAAGAGATGCACCAATAATGCTTTTTCCCTTCCGATTCCAATACTTGACTGATACCGAGTACCGATACCACTAGTAACTCTAACTTAACTAGCTTATAAGTCCTGATATTTATACAATTCCACTTCTCACATATTTAGACCATTTTAGATGCTTAAAAAACGTAGTTTTTTACTATCATTAGTATTTATTACTAAATAATAATAATAATAATAATAATAATAATATTTACATTAACTTCAGTTGTTAAATATAGTATTTAACAACTGAAGTTAAAGTAAATATTTTTGTGTAAAATAGTTAAAAACAGAACTGAACAATATTTAGATAAACCTGTGGTGTGTACATGTAAGCATGCAGCTTTTCATAGCAGTGCTAAATACTGTTTCACATCGGACTTTCTCAAGTGATTTGTCTCATTTGGGCTTTCTGTTCATTCACGCTTACATCTCTCCTTGGAGATCTGCTCCAGCGATCGTCCCTTCATTTCCGGCACAAACACCATCACAAACATCACGAGCACGAAGCTGGTCAGGCAACATTACAGTCATTAAAGCTGTCAATAGCAGCTATTTTCAGCAGATTTCTCGGCTTAATGGAATCACCAGCCTGTTAGTCCATGCTACTGGTGCAGCTAACTGATGGAGGCACATCGCAGACAGGGCTTGTGCACACACTAGTTTGGCTAGTGGGCTGATATGCTAAAGGCATAAAAAGCAAGGCTAAAGGCTATCATTACCCCAAGATACCAGCAGTTCCTTTCGTATGTCTTTCTAACATTCACTCCCTCAAAAACAACCTGGACTAACATTGACTCAGACTGTAACTGACTACACAGTAGGAGGTAAGGGGATACTGAAAGAAGCCTGACTCAGCCTTTCAGATAAAGAGCTACCGTTAGCGTGTTTTGCATTATCTGGCTTATTTGTGGCATACCAATGAAACTAATACTTTGTGAAGAATTCCAACTGGTATATCACCATTGCGTTCTTATGAAATACTGGCATAAAATACTGAGCATTTTTACTTCTGCTCGTCAACCCACACCGCCAACGTGTTGTTAAATGTGTTGTTGAGTTCTGTCTACTGGCACGCAGCATGCGTCACTCAGTATTAGGGCTGCGTATAAGAAATCACATTGAGGTATCTGTATTCTCATTGCTTATACCAATATTGCATTTTAGTGCCAGTATCATTATCAGCCAACACTGATATGGCATTGGTGCAACCCTAGTTAGGACACTTAGCGTGCTGTTCCTGCCTGAGCAAGGAACTGAACCCTGTTCTCCTGCATGGAGGGGAGCGGTGTTACTCATTACTCTACACCAACCACTATAAAACTGATTAATCACCAAACAGAAGATTACACCTTTACTTAAATAATCAGAGCCCTTATCCAAACCCGTAAGTCTTACCTGTTAGTGTAAGGAAGGTCATTGATATGAGCAGGTTCATGGCCCAGTTAAAGGCTGAGACCACAGACACAGCTTTTCCTCTGATCCCAGTGGGAAAAATCTCACTCAAAACCACATAGACCACTGCAAAACACACACAGACAGAGTGAATATATAATAGAGTGACGATATAAGTAACTTCTAATATGATGTTTGCAGTTAATATGATGTTTGCAGTTAAGCTTGGTGCCTTAATATTACCATCACACATACAAAGATAAGCACTGGCAAGCCAGAGGGCTGCACAATATATTTTCTGTTAATCATGATCATGATATTGTCCTTTGTAATATTAATATTAAAAAAGGTTGCAATTAGTGACGCACAATATTGGAATCACATTCACTCTGATAAAATATACAGAACATATTTGTTCAGCTAGGATTTGCATTATCCAAATTTACTGAAAATTGCAGGAAGAAGAAAAGTAGATTTTCTTTCTTTTTTTCCTCAAACTTTTCAATGGATTTTGTGGTGTTGACTGAAGAGGTCATTCTGAAAGTTTAACCTTTCTATAGACAGATATTGTTATAGATTGAGAGTACATTATGCTTTTGAAACATACATTTTAAGTAAATCATTAGAGTGTCCTTAATGTCCTAATGGCATTAGCATGGATGCTAGTAAATCACATTTTGTGTCTTTGCTAAAACTGTGCCTAACCCTGTTACTCATTTAAGCCACTGTCAGTTTAGAAACCTGGTAAAAACAGATAACACAGTTTTGAATGGTTTAATGCATGTTTTCTTTGATTCAATGTTGAAAAATTATACTATTTTTTTCATTTTAAAGAGTTTTAAGGGCTAAATGACACCTCAATCATAGAATCACCCAATTATTATTGTTTTGTAGATTGCAGATGTTCCAGAGGTGTTTCTGTACATGTACATGAAAAACGTAAATCATTTTGGTCAAAAATAATGCAAGCCAATCTTTAACCACATCACATCAAGGATTCACTGAGTTGTTGTAAGTTTCATCATAATTTCAGTATGTGGAAATAAAGTGGTAATATGGAATACTGTCCATAATGTGCATCTTATTGCTGCTATGTGACCTGCTATCTTCTCATTGTTGACATATTCAAATGCCAAAACACACAAGCAGTTTTGTTAACAGGGTGTTACAGCTGCTCAGCAAAAGCAGGCTGACTTGACTGTGCTGTGTAAAGGATATATTTAAGAAATGTTGCATTAAGTGAAATGTTACAAGAAACCTATTAAAAAATAGAGTAACATGCTGCTATGTGGGTCAGCATTATGTCATTTAGGTCTATGTTAAACCCACTGATCACTAAAGTCCCATTGCTCCCTGTGACTGCTTCAGAATGGCCTTTCAGGAAAGTTCATTTCCTTTCTCCGGTCACTATGTGAAGCCCATCACATGCTTGCATTTGCTGGGAAATGGATATCAGGGTGGTAAAAACTCCATTAAGGAGAGACACAAAATACCCTAAATCGGCCCTAAAGATGGGTTAATTATGGTAGTGTGATGTGTAATAAACAATAATCATGCATTAAAAGTGTTGCTTCTTTCAGGGAGATTTTTCAGGACTAATGATTACATAAATTACACTGACTGGGCTAAAACTGTCGCCTAATGCCTTAATGCCTTAATAGTAGGGCTCCACAATGTGGACAAAATACCATCCTACAATTGTATTGCTACACTCTTAAAAAAAGAAGGCTCCTCAAAGGTTCTGTAGTAAAGACATAGGTTCTATATGCAACCATGAACTCTCAAAGATCCATTTGCATGCTTAAAGGGTTAATTGCATAATGAAATGGTTCCTCAGACTAATGGAAAATGTGTTGTATGTCTCTATAGATTGTTTTTTAGAAGAGTTATACATAGCACAAAAAAAGGGTTCCGCTGTTGTTATGATGTCAAGCTTGTAACAACAGAAGAACCCTTTCTGGTGAAATACAGAACCCTTTTTAAAAACATTCTATACAGAACCATATTTTCATCACTCTGGTGAACCATTTCACCCTGCAAAGAACCATTTAAGCATGCAAATGGTTCTTTGAGAGGCCATGGTTCTAGATAGAACCTTTGTCTTTATTAAAGAACCATTGAAAAAACATCTTTTTTAAACGTGTGCATACTGCAACCACAGTATGCTTTGCAGCATAATAAAACCATGCTGGTAAAGCCTTGTGGGTTCAAAAGGGTTTTTGTCCAAAATTTCTCGGATCATATAAAAGCCTCAAGCAAGATATGCAGCATTTCTGACATTTTCTGTCCTGATCCTGACTCTGATATTTGAACTCAGGATATTGGACACAGTGTACCAGTCCAATAACTTTGTCTTCTTCACTTTAAAATGTGTATATCTAATAAAATGTGTTGTTACAGTTCAAGAGTTAATTCCAAAACATGATATATATTGTAAGAAATTTTGGTAATATTCTTTGGTAATATTCTTCTAATTTATTTCAGGGATAATTGTCTAAATGATCAATGTACACACTTTAAAATGATGGAAATGAAAGGGGTCTTCAGATTGATGGAGAATGTGCTGTAGAGTTTTTTTATATAGAACCTTTGTGAAAAGGGTTCTATATATCACCAAAAAGGGTTCTTCTATTGTAACATGCTCGACATCATAAAAATCTCAGAACTCTTTCTGGTGCATTATTAATGCTGTATGAATGTGCTGTGATAGTGTAAATATCACATGAGTGACTCTTACTTGGTCCCAGGCTGAAAGAGAATCCGGCCACATATACTAGCAGACTGACCAGAGAGATCCATTTCAGTGAAGGCGACACCTCGCTTATGGACATGGATTCTAGTGCAACTTCAGCTCTCTTTCTCCCGTCCTGTGCTGGTATCCCAGAGTTCCTCACTACTACACTACGGTCCTCTGTTGAGTTTAAATTCTGGTGCACCTGAGTGTCGTTAAATGAGCTTAAAACAGCAGGGCTTATTCTATAGTGCGTATTATTCAGTTTGGACTGAAAGTGGGCATGATACAAGCCCTGAGGCAGGTGTGTGTGAAAGTCACTGTCGTACCCCCTCCCCACTGGGGTGTGGTTGAGAAGAACGGGGCTTTGGCACAAGCTGGAGACATGGGTTTGACTCTGCAAGGTAACTGCCCCTAGCGTTGCAGTAGACAACGTCATGACAACAGCCCCCAAGCACAGGAAGGCTTTGGGCCCAACTCGGTCCACTAACAGGATCGCAGGAATGGTCCCACCAACTTTAACCAAACCCAACCCAGTGGAGGCCAGCGTGGCTGCCTCGTTGCTGTGAAAACCCACACTGCGGAGGACAGTGGAGGCGTAGGCTAGCAAGTTGGGCTGTCCTGTCGCCTGCTGCAAAAACACCAAAGCCAAGCCCACAAACAACCTCCTGCGCATGTTGTCCCGTGAACGAAAGAGGTCCAGAAATCCCTGTTGATTTTCAGCCCCCAACGCAACCCTTATGGTCCGAAGTTCTTCCTCCACAGCATCTGGGCTGGTAGCACCCCGTAAACGGGCCAACGTGGCCCAAGCCTCCTTCTCCCTCCTGTGGGCGAGTAGAAAACGAGGGCTCTGGGGAAGCAGGGGCATCACACAGACCTGAAGGAATGCAGGCAGAAGCACAGCGCTCAAGGTGAACCTCCAGCCACCTTCTACACTTGTGAATGCCCAGCTCAGCCCGAACCCCAGCAGCACTCCCAGGACCACCATCAGCTCATAAACACAAACACACCGGCCCCGCCAGGTTGCAGGTGCCACCTCTGCCACATACAGACACGAGGCAGTGCCTGAGAGAGCCACAGCCATGCCCACGAACGTCCGCCCCACCAGCAGCGCCCAGAAGGTCGGCACGCACACGCTCAGCAGCGTCCCACATGCACACAGCACTGCCGTGAGGATGATAGAGAAACGGCGGCCATAACGGTCCACGATGGAGCCGCCTACCATGGAGAGAAGGAACGCTCCGAGCAGCAGAGCCCCAACGACCTGCTCCTGCTGCGGACACGAGAGGGCCAGAACTTCCCTGAGCTGCAGCAGAGCTCCAGAGATCAGGCCCAGCTCATAGCCCAGCATCAGACCGCTGAGAGATGCAATGGACACGGCACACAGCACCAGCATTGCACCACAACCTGGAGTGAGAAAGAGAGAGAGAGATAGAGAGAGTAAAGTAAATGTAACATTTACTATAAAGTCACAAAACAAAGACTATCCCTGAAGCATGAACCTTAACACTGTGTGTGCTTGAGTACCTTCATCAAGTCCAGACTTCAGTTCCTCACTCTCATAACAACATAACTGACATATGATTTTCATAATAGTAAATGAATAGTTTATAGTAGTTACTGAATAATAATACTAATAATACACTTTGATAACTGAAAAATAAGCTTAGACTTTACAGGGTTAACCAGCTACCTCAAAAACACATGGTGATGATCTAAAGCAGATATCCTCACTGAAAGAACAGATGACAGATAAATATCCAAGATAACGTTTATTATTTTTTGTTTTCCCAGTTCCTCTCCAATGTATATAGAACCAATCAGTTCTCTTTCCTGACATACCAGCACTACTAATGATGGCTATATATCCATCTCTTTAACCCCTGACATGGCGGCTTCTTCTGGCAGGCTCAAAGTTTTATTACACACTTCTATAACCTAAGAATAGCTCAGCCAGTTTGCATTTAAGCCCCTGTAGTTACTGAATAATAAGCCTTAGTATGTAATAAGCCTGGGATTTAAACCACCCACTGAAAAATGTAATGCAGTGATGCCTTGAATATACTATAAAATTATTGGCAAAAGTAAACTGAAAGACTCAGCAGGGTCCCACATGTGCACAGCACTGTAATATACTTTATTCATGTGGAAAATATATAGTCTACATATACGAATCAAATAAACTGAATGCATCATATTTGTCAGTACAGGAATCTTACTGGTATGTACGTTTACAGTAAGGTGAGGGATTAGCTTAGTCTGTTCACTGGAAAGCTGGATGAAATGTGAACTGCCCACAGGCAGGGCTCACTCATTCATCTCTTTTCATGGGGTGATGACATGCCTGTTAATGCCTCTATGCTTATACATAGCAAAACTATGCTTGCTTCATTTGTGTAATTTCCAGTCAAGACAGACAATATAAAGTAAAAGTTATTTAAGATACAACGTATTTCTGAGCAGACTAAAAATAAGATCAACCACCAGCAAGGAAGGGGAAAGTCAAAGGAAATAAGTGAAAAAAGAGTTTCCAAAGCTGGAGTTCAAAAAATGTATAAAAGATATAGAGAAAGTGGGACTATTAACAACCCCCTGCAAGACCTGAGCGTAGTGGTCGACCGATTATTGGCCCAGCCACTAATCAGAGTCTAGATTTAGCATTTTTGTTATGTATGTGCATATCTGACACAACCACTATCAAAAAAACTCAACTTTGTATTCTCACTCAATGTCCCACCCACAGCATTACTAGATTGCATCACTTCTGTAGTCTGTCTCTGTCCTGCCTGTGGTGCTACGAGATTGGTAGAAATGTGTCAAATAAATCCAATCAAAGTTCAAGGAAGTCTCTCAAAATGGACTGTAATAAAAGCAATAAATGGACGCACTACATACTAAAATATTTGAAATTATATATAGTTGTTGAGACCTCTGTGTAATTTTCTGACATTGAAAATTCAGTAACTTGTACTGAATAGACTTTCTGACTGGAAATCTGACTTTTGCACAGTACTGTATGTTTGTGGGTATGTGTGTTGCTATGTTGTTATCTTACAGTAACCTGGCCTTCACCCTCGGCACTCTGGAAATGATAATGCAATCATGTTCCACATAACGATTATACAATAAAACTGATGGTGAATATTGATTTGGGATATAGTTAATAATCATTACATAATTAATTATCAATTACGGGTAATCTGACACTGATATTCTAATGTTCTGGTTGTTCCAAGCAATGAAGGCTCACACAAAGCTCCTGCACAGTGACATGTATGTGCTGTAATTTGCTGGCAACTGAAACATGCCTGTACAAACACAAGGATAGAGTCTTTTGTTTTGTTTTAGGTGTGTTTCAAGCTAACAGATGCTTTCAGGCTGCTAGGCCCTGCTGGATATACCTAAGGAGGAAGACAACTACTATATATGGTTATATGTAGTGTCAGCTTCTTATAGTTTTACTTTCAACTTCTATTCTTTTTGGGAGTCTTTTTAGTTTTTTGAAGAAATGTGCAGGGATATAAGTCTTAGAAGTTGGTTGAATTTTTTGCTTCTCACAATCGAAGTTATCTTTTAAAAACATTTTTGAACTCCAGTTTTGACTGTTTCACTCATTTTCCTTTGACTTTCCTCTTCCTCATGTGAGTGGATTGTCATATCTAATCTTTTCAGAAATGCCTCCTGAAAAATTATTAACTTGTACCTAATGGCTGTTTTGACTGGAAATTAAATAAATGCAGGTCTCTGATTTTTGTAAAATACTGTATAGTAATGTAGTAAGTACTGTCGAATGACATTTCTTGATTTGTAATGTCTGACAATAATCAAATGACCACTAAAGTACCACCATAGTCCTGTGCAGTAAAGGTTTAAATCATACTTACAAAGGGGAATCCTGACACATGTTGATGTCAGTGTTTTTTCTATGCTCTCAGAACCAAAGCAAGTTATTTGTCACTAACAGCCATAAGATCCAGGGGTACAGGTCAGAAATTCATGTGTTTCATACAGTACATCAGGAGTAAATCATTCATGTAGAAATATTTTCATTAGAGATCTGCATATCAGATGGCTAATATTTACCAAAAGTACGCTAATAAAATACATTACATCAACATAATTCTGTATTTCAGTTCACTTACTTTTGGCAATTATTTACATTTGAATGAAGTCAATTCAGTGCATTACTTTTTTCAGTGTATAGTCCACCAGTTCAAGTATTTTCATAAATATAAGGATCTGTCAAATCCGCCCATGTAATCCACCAAATAGTAGCAGGGGGACACCACTGAATGTAGTAATCATTGGGGTTTATATCTATAGATCACTAGCTCTCAGTTAAGCCCACAAATTATTTTTTTATTATTTTTATTATTTTTTGAAATAATTCAGTTAGATTAAAGAAGGGAAATGATTAAACTAGAACTAGAAAAAAACAAGCGCATCTGACAGAAGCTGGTGCAATTAACAGAAACACACACACAAATCAAGTTGTTTGCCAAGTATTTTCTGTGTAATATATCTAGGTACCATAAACTTCAACTTTTCATTAATGGCCATAAAATAGCTTTAAGAGTTATATATCTGGCTATTTCTACTGCTTATGAAGTAAGGTTATTAAATGACATATGATATAAGATATAGAAGATAATCCACAAGGAAGGGGAAAGTAAAACCACAATGAGTAAAATAAAAAGTAAAAAAAGGCAAAAAGGCAAAAACCTTACTTAATGTAAGTTAATGAAAAAAGATTTTGTTTCAAGCAATTCTGGAGCATTTTTATTGGTCTACTCAACATGAAATTTTCACACAGTGTAAAGTGCAGCTGATTTTTTCGAATTATGTCAATTTTGCTTTTGTAATGTAATGTGTAGTAAGGTTGTGTGAACTGAAGAGTCTAAATTTGGGAGCACTGATCATTACAGGCAGAAAATACAACCAACTTCCAAGACTGAACTTTGGAGGTATAGAAAAATATCCCTGCAGATTTCTTTGAAAACTAAAAGCAAGTCTCCTGAAAAGAATGAAAGCTGGAAAAAAGGGTGGATGAATACATATTTCTACCTCTGTGAATTATGTGAGCATTCATGGCTTAATATTTTTTGTTTGTATGTTTTGGTAAAGAATGTAGTTGGCTTTTTTCTGGAATATCACTTTCATATGATTCAAAGCATGTGTTAAAAACTGGGTTGGATTCCCCTTTAAGCACCCAGTTAGTTCACAGCTGCACACAGGCACAGACATAAAACTTGACAGACCAGATCAGTTCTCCCCTTTACAGTAAAATCACATGAAAAGTTGCCAAGCAAGACTGCAAAGATAACCTCTAGTTAAACCTTTCATGTGGTGTGGAGGTGGGTGGAAGGTAATCTGCAGGCACAATCATCAAGAGGCCAAAGGGAAACATCTACCTGCAAGTGCGTGAGACGGAGTGTACCTGAGTGTGCAGGTGTGTTTTTCTCAGGCTGCATGTGCACATCCTGATTCTGCAGTGCAGCCTTGCTCTGAAGGTCAGAGGTCATTCTGTCAGTCTCTGCCACAGTGTCCATTCTCTCTCACTAGGCCAGTGCTGCTGCAGGTACAAAGGGGGGGAAACCAAGAGAACAGTCAGATGCTGCAGCGGAAATGGGAAGCTCTGATGTCACACTTTTTATAAATTATTAACAACATTTTGCATAACTCTGACATTTGGCTTATACAAGCAGCTCAGAGGCAGTGTGTTCTTGCTGTTTCATCTATTCTATACAGCCCATATAAGGAAACTAAGCTGCTAAAAAACAGCCTGTTTTCAATGAATTGTATATAATTTTTTTGTGATGTCAATAAACCAATATGTTTAAATATACGTGCCTTTTCAGCCTAGAGCAGTTTAGCACTTTCTTTTTATGCTGACGTTTTAAGGAGTGTTTCAGCCCAGAATGCTTTATTTAAATAAGGCACAGTACAGGCTAGGCCAGGGGTCAGCAACATGTGGCTCCGAAGCCACATGCAGCTCTTTTACTGGGCTGTTGTGGCTCCACAGCAGAATTAGATGTTCAGGTAAAAATAAAACAATTGCAGGAAAATAAAGTTCTGCTGATCATTCTAACACAGTTTTAACAATAAACGGTCTTAAACATCGGCATGCAGACTGCTGGTCACCATAGCAACAGAGACAGCAGTCTCTCCTAGCTAGTAGCTAACAAAAAGGCAAATAGAGAGATTTAGAATAAACGTTGATAATTTGGAGACAAACAGACTTATTTGCATTTATTAGCACTCCAGCTGGTTTCTACAAAAGCTGAAGTCAGTTTCTCGTTTGAATTCTCCCGTTCCACCTTAAATGGCGCAGCAGTTACGTTCTATTGCGTCAGGTGCCATTTAAGATGGAACGGGAAAACTCACCCAAGAAGCTGGTGAATGAGAAACTGACTTCAGCCCCGTAACAAGTCGAACGTTGAGAGACATTTTACAAGAAAATATTCTACTTTTGAGGAAAAGTTTCCTGCCGGAGATGTGAGAAAAAAAGCTGTAGCTGAGCTACAACTTAAAGCAGAGCAAAGTAAGTCTGTGTTTTCGTTTATAATATATTTTTTAGCCTATACTAGTACATTAGCACATACTGAGACATATTTACAGCCAAGGTGGTAAAATGGATATGAAATGTTGTGCCTCCCAAGGTTTGGGTTGCCGACCCCTGGGCTAGGCAATCAGAACAGAGCTCATTACATATATTCGTCTTAACGACATAGCCTGTTTAATTCTAAGGGCTAAAGAGAGAGTGCAAAACGATCATTACAAGAACACAAGAATACTATTACCTTTTAAAGAACATTTAAACTTGAATGTTTCTCTTCACCTCATCATTGATATGCAATATATTAAATGATGCTGTTCCTGCCATTATCTCATTGACTACTTAAATATATCATAATATCATATTTCAATACTCAGTTGCATTCAAGCACACACTTTAAAACCCATAGTGTTGTGTAAGTATTTTATGCAGTCACATTTTATAGTTTTCCCTACACTCTTAAGAATAGAGGTGCCAAAAATAAAGGGTTCTCTGAAGCAATGCTATAGAAGAACAATAAAGAATTTATAATTGGTTCTTTAAAGAGCCACTTCTGTAAATGAGATTAGAGCATCTGAACTGTCTCTTTAAAGGATAAAGAGGAGTTCCACCAATGTTTCAAAATTTCTACACAGTTAAATTATTAAGATGTAAAGAAAGTCATTCAGAGTGGGCTGATATAAAATGTCTCATTTTATAGATACTTACCAGGTCATTACTGTTCACAGCGGTGGTGATAGGAACCAGACGTCTGAAATATTTAAAGTCTCTGAAATCTACCTCACGGAAACTATTAAACTAATGGTTATAAATATGGTTTTTGATGCTCAAGACTTTGTTTTGAAATAAGGTTTTGGCCTAAAACCTCACCACCACTGTAAAGAGATCAGAGTCAGTGAGTTTCTCTACACTCTCAGAAATAAAGGTATGAAATTGTCACTGGAGCAGTGCCCCTCTTGTCTCTGGGGTGGGACCCTCGAGGGTTCATCTCAGTACCTTTAGTAAGGGAACATAATTGTATCATAATCCACTGAAATTATATTTTCTAAGTTGTATTGACTCCACACACCCCATCTCGTCTCCAGGCTTTTATTTTTTTGATCTGTTTTAAAACATTAGGTTATAAAAAGGTATAAATACGTACTTTTCACCTGGAAAAGTTTATTTAAGGTTCACAATTAAACCTTAAAACCACTGTTGTACCTTTGAGGGAACATTTACATTGAAAATGTATGAAATGAATGAAAAATGTACCTGCACAGAACCTTTATTTCTAACAGTGTACAATGAAGCATTTCACATCAAACCACTGTGAATGACTTTCGTTTACATCTCGATGACTGGATTGTACAGTTTTGAAAAAATTAGTGGAATTCCCCTTTAAAAATCTCCACATAGTGTAAAGTTTCTATGCCAAACCAGACCAAGAACTTATCAGGAACCTTTATTTTAACAGTGTAGTGCATGTATGTGATTTGTATAGTTCTGCTGCTAACTTACTTAGAATGAATAATGCTTGCTATCTATCTATCTATCTATCTATCTATCTATCTATCTATCTATCTATCTATCTCAGCACCACTCTTGGGATCAAATGTATCAAACGGTCACTAAACTCTTCAGCCAAAATAGTGTCCCAACATACAGTTACCCAAGAGTTCACAGGAACATGTTTACTAGTAGGCAGCAGTCAGTGGGAGAGCACACAACAACAAAACTGTCCTCAAGGTCACTTCAGCTGAGCTTCTGACAGCCAAAAGGCAGCAGCCCAACAGGCGTGCTGACCACAGGCCACCACTTTTCAGCGAACCAGGCTGGTGTGAAAAGTCTGAATCACTTCTGAGTGATTGGCCATGCAGCTCCTCTCCAAGCCCACCCATGAAAGGAAGCCCCCCCAAAATGCATGGAAAACTCGACCACCGGAAGTAAAGGCAGCAGCAGCAGCTAAGCTCTTACCTGTCACCGGCGCGCGCGTTTGGGCCACTTTAACCCACCGGCTTTACGAGATCATGGCGGTGCTGGGAGCCTCTTTCTTCCCTCGCCGTCCAGGGCTGCAGCCACTTCTGCTTTTCTGCTCCTTCGTGCCTTGTTTTGGAGCGCTGGCTCCCTCCAAGCCCCGCCCACTCCGGCAGAAAGTGGGAAAACAGGACAGCCCAACTTAGCCAGCCGGCCGTCCGGCCATTCAGTGGACGCTGCTTAGTACCAAAGTTGACTCACACTGTGCACAGTGATTAGGAGCGGGGCACTTTTATTGGCTCCTTATTTAGTTTTTATTTATAATAATTACGCATTACGCAGACGTTGGTGTTTATGGGAGTTGAATGACCACTGGTCTGTGTTATAAGGCTGAGGTGAAACAGACACATTTGGGCTGTCTAGTGATAAAAAAGTAGCTGTATATAAACGTGGATGCGCGTGCGCGTGTGTGTGCGCGCGCGCACTGGGGTTATGTAATATGTGTAGGTCTACGAGTCAGTTCTGACTGCAATAAGGCTGCGCTCCAAAAAAAGCCCCCCGGTACACCGTGACCACCCTGTTTCAGTTTCCATATAAGCCAGACAGAAGTGCAGGATCATTCTGTAACACGTGTTGATTAAAAACACAAACCTTTCCTGGAAAACCACACCCTGCTTTACAGAAGGATTTTTCCAGACTGTTACAACAATCTGTCCTGAAGAGAGAGAGAGAGAGAGAGAGAGAGAGAGAGAGAGAGAGAGAGACAGAGAGAGAGAGAGAGAGAGGGGGACAGTGACGTTTAACTTCTTAGATAGCAAGCATGCATTGGTCTGCTGGCTTGATAATGTTGACACCCCACTGAATGTTTGTCCACCCTCGGACCACCCAGATCTTACCAGTTTTAACCTCCTCAGACAGATTTTAAGTGCACATAGCCTTTTATTTTGGAACAAAAACTAAGACAAAATACTACAAACTTCAAAATGAATGAGGTCTAATATAAAATGTTGTTGCTGACTCTGTGCTAGCTGTATAACTGGCTTTATTCATGACATTGCTGTTAAAATTCATTTACAAAACTAATTTACAAAAGATAATGTAAGATAGAAATGATGGGAAAGTATGCAAATTGGACTGTGAGAAGAAAATAATTGGGATTTTGTATAAAACTCTGCTTAACCACCAGTAGGCTGCCCGGAAAATACTAAGCAAAAAACAATGTGCCATGAGTTTTGCTGTCGGCGGGCCAACAGTAGCCTGCTGTCCTCTCACTATCTTGGTTATCTTATCAATTTAACCCCTTAGCCAAGACACATTTGGTGTCTGAACCCTGCTGAAGGACATGCTGGTCTAACATGCTTATAGCTTGCCAATTAGCATTACTAACTGCCTGCATAAATCATAAACTTGAGTTAAGTAATCTCAAATTGATGACAAAAGGTCAATTATTAATAGGTTACCCTGACAAAATTCAACAAAACTGATTACTGATTGAAATTGGTTAAACGGAGACAGATTGTACTGACCACTGATCATTTCAGCAGTAACACCCAATTGTTAATTTTGGCATGATTCAATTGTTAAGATGCAAACAAAGTCATTCAGAGTGCTTTAATGTGAAATTGTACATTGTAGAGAAACACAGATTTCTTTACAGTGGTGGTGATAGGAACCATGGGTCACAATGTCTACGACACAAATATAACCATTTTATCTGCGCTCCTAAATGATCAATGAACCAACACGTGTCTTATGAGTTTTTATTTGTAATGCTGATTAAAAAAAGTTTTTCTTTGGGGAGTAAAATCCAAGGGGTGGCCAGGGGTGGCCAGTGCCACCCTGAAATAAAGTATGGCCACCCGTCTGGCTATCCCTGTTATGAAAAGTGAGACTTGAATACATGCATGTGTTGCAGGCTACCTTATACAGCTCTGCCTGACTAACTTTCTAATCACTAGACTCATGTATAACTTGTAGCAAGAAGCTAAATAGCTTCTGAATAGCTTCTGTGGCCTGTCTATATGAAATGTTTATATGTTTTTATTGAAAGTTAATATTGTACATTGAAGAAAAGTGGGACATTTCAATAAAGTTTTCTCTCTCAGTTTACTTTTGTCAATAATTGTATTGCTGTAATATTTGATTTATGTGGAAATGATGGACAGATGTAATTATGTTAAAAGAAAGAACTTTTAATGACATTTTAATACAGTAGTGTTATTTATTTTTTCTAGCTCTGTGTCACCCAAATAAAATCACTGGGTCTTAACTGCATACCCCATTCTAAAAGCTCTGTGTACACCCCTAGACTATGCTCTGTATGTACCCCTGCAGTCTGAATGTAAAAATACATTTTAAGTCAAAATCTTCTCTCAAAATTATCATGAAGCAATGCCTCAGACATCAGACATCATTGTGGTTACCACGACTGACAATTACACCACTGACACCACAAGTTACTAAATTCTGACTTCCACTACCACTTAAAGTCATTGGATGTAGAAGTTTCCAAATATTTGTATTCATGTTGTTGTTTTATTGAAATTGTTCAAAATCATTTATGGTTTATGGGTAACACCACTGACAGAATTCTGTGTGATACATTAAGCTGTTAGAATTTTGGCCAAATTTATCAGGATATAAAAAGAGACTTCACTCACTATGGACTTCTCAGAGTTTGTCTTTCTTCCTTTGAGATATCCAGACAAGCAACTATTAAAAATGACTTTTAAAGAGATTTTATATTTCTGTAACACCACTGACAAAAAACAAAAATATTAGACAACATTTATTATCAAATTAAAATGACATTTATATATTTGTAACGTGACATTTGGTGAAAAACAAACCAAAAATGGTTGTTTCACTTAAAATAATGCTTAAGCGTCTATGAAGTCACTCCTGTGACATGCTGTTTTTCATGCACAACATGACTAAAAATCACTAAAATAAATAATTAAAAAAGAAACATTTTCACCGTTTTCATGAATTACTTTAGGAATGTAACAAATAATACACAGACATCAACATCCAGTGGTTTGTTCGAATTTTAAGCTCGTTTTTATAGCTTTTAAGTTGTTGGATGCCATTTGATGATTGAATTACCTGTATATTTAGGCCTACCTTCTTAACCATGGATAAAACCTAGTCTTGGACTAAACTGCAATGCCAGTAGGGTTAAACACCAATTAAAAAATGTGGGTTTAGTGTAGATTTAGGCTAAATCTAGGTTTTGGGAAAGTGTCTGTAATGGGAATATCACTGTGAGCTATACATGCTGACACTGGGGGGAGCTAGACAACAAGAGATGTTAATGACATTCTCTAAAGACTAGCCTTGTAGTGAAGGCGCAGAACATCATCTCTCTCAACAAACACAAACATCTTTCATGCATAAAACATTATCTCAGGATAATTAGTGTTATGTTCAAATTGACCTCTTGAACCTTTTGTTAATTACCAAGTTAATGAATGAGTTATGACTGATTATTCAGTAACTTCTCTAAAACTAATATGCATGTCCTGTAGTTATGAACCAATGTGTGGAACCAAACACAGACCTCAGTTGAGTGGGTTAACATGGGTTAAAGGAATGATTTACTGAAAAATCAGATTTACACAATTTCTCCCTTATCATAGAAGTAGCTGAACAACCAAGACATGTTTGGGTGTTTAAAGTTTGCTTCTTTAGTTGTGGAGTGGAGCTTTGAAACCTATATAACAGAAGTCTATGTCTCCCAAAAGGTAAGATACCTGTTAGCCTATTTAGCATTATAGCTCCCATGATCAAACATGTCTTGGCCAATCGAAAGGCATTACTAGACTTTATACAACCATTCTTTTAAGACTAGATGTAGACTTGTTTTCTTAGAACCAAAGCAGACCTAATCCTCAACAAAAAAGACATTTCTGTGGTAAATCCCTACTGATATTACAATTTAGCCTAAGACTAAGTTTCCAGCAAATTCTTACAGGGGGATGCTCTCAAAGCCTCTGCTCTACTTGACTCATTTTCTATTGAAGTCATAATAACAAATCAGGGCCTCCAACCTGCCAGGTTGCTAGCAGATACTAGACTTTTGTGTCATTGTTTAAAAGCCTCTGTTGTCCTGTACCAAGCTGACCACCAGCAATGATTCCAAATTGGGGGTCATTGAATTTTTGCCTTTTTGATGCAACTGGACTTCAATCTGTGAAATGAAAATGTTATGTAACATCTAAGTTTAAATACATCAGCCAGCCTGTAGGTGGCAGTAGTGCGCTGAAGAATAAATGTACACACAATGCCGAGAATCAGCAGCAGTTTGGAAAGAGGCCTGTATTGGTTAGCTGTTATGTTGCCTTTTCCATACCAGCATGAATCTTTGTTCCAGTACTTTGGTGCTGGTACCCCACTTGTGTTTTCATACTAGCGTTTTGTTGGGTGATTATATGAATCTACATTTCAGGGTAAAGTGCATCACTGGTAGTGTTGCCAGCTTGCAGGGATTGGACTTGAGACTCAAGGGATTGACCGAGACCTCCTGGAATTGTAAAAATGTAACCCTTGAGATATTTAGTAGGTTTCATTTTCATATAGCTTATTAAAATGATTGCTGTCTCACAATCTCACACCATCACTCACTATCAATAGGGTTGCAAACTGGCAGTGGTTGTGGTTGAATCACATCTATTGTATTTATGCTGTGCGTGTGATTCCCTGTAATGACCCTGGAGCTGTGGCGGTACTTCATAGTGAAATACTGTAACTTACCAAGATGCTGAAGATAGGAAGGGTGTTACTGGAGCTTGCCCACCCGTCCCATCAAACCTGGTGGAAGACTAGGGTGGAACTCAAAGTTGGTGCCTCCTTGATTCCTCTTTCTTATGTGCTCCAGCCTGTAACCTGGAAGTCTGCCATCTTTAAAGGGCTGGTAACATGGAAAAACACATTTTCCTCACTTCTTTGAAATAAGAGTTTGATGTGGTATGTAAATATTGTTTCAAAATCCCCAATCCATACAGTCTAAGCTGCAGAAACAGCCTATTTTGAATTCACTGTTTTGTGATGTCATGAAAACCAGCACATGTTGATATATCAGCCTTTTAGCCTACAGCAGTTTAGCCCTGCCCATTCATGTTGAAGTTATAAGGAGTTTTTTCAGCTCAGAGGGCTCCTTGAATGAGGCACAGAACAGAGATAGTTTACATATATTAGTCTTAAAGGCACAGTAACAACTACAGTCTATTTAATTCTGAGGGAGAAAAGAAAGTTTGGAAAATGGTCATGTAAAAATGAAATATGACTTTTTTTAACTTATACAATCATCATAAAAAAGGACAAATAAAATGAAAAAAGGTTGATGAAATTTATTAAATTGTTGATGTGGTTGAATTTCAATAAAATATGCTTAAGTGAAAAGTCAGTGTTCAATATTAAGAGCCTTCAAGTCCAGTAACAGGTGAAGAAATTGAAAATTGTCCCAGAAGGACGAGCTAATACACGAGATACAAGTAAAGAAAAGAAGGATGCACAGTAAAAGATATGAGATGCCCCCCTAGCCTTGCAAGCCAAATTTCTGTCTACTGTTATGTTTCATCTCATAATGTGGGCAAGAACTGACTACTTAGACAGAAAAGGGCCTACTCTGACTGACACGCAAAACAACCAATCAGGTGATTTTAAAAACAGTAATACAAAAAAAAAAAACACAGTTGATTGAAGCAAAGTGGTATGTACCAGCAAACCCTCTGATAGAGGATGTCATTACATGTTAATTTCAGAAACGTTGTTTAATCCACAATCTATATTTTGTTTTTAGAAGACTCTTTAGAAGACTGCTAGTATCCAGTGCATGGAGGTGCATAGACATGGACGTGTGGATAGTCCAAGATAAGGTACATGAAAAAAATAAAATGTGGTAATTTTCACATTTAATATACACATACAAATTAAATGGTCATAGCACCTCCGTGGGCAGAGTGACACGGACTGAAACTACTGGATGTTTCATTTTTGTTACCTGATAGCACCAGATCTCAGACTTTGTTGCATCTGTACAGCATTGGTTCCTCTGGTCCTGAAATTGTCCTTCCCTGCACATTTTAGTGTTTTACCTGCTGTAACAAGCTCATTACAAGTGATCAGATAATCAAAAGACTCAATGCTAGTTGAAGTAGAGCTGTTAGAGCAGCGAACGCTAAAATCTGCAGCACAGGGAAACTGCCATCCGTTTCGGTACTGGTTCAGAAAAGCCTTCGTTCATTTGGCCTCACCATTTCCCCTGGAGGAAACCTCAACACCATCTTAAGAGTCATTCCGTTAGTGTATTAGCTCCAGTGAAGTTTGTCAGATGAGGGATTGAGTGAACAAAAGTGTTGACTTCAGCAGGAGAACTAACCTAAAAATCATTACTACCTGACACAATTCCTTTTTCAAAACCCTGAAAAAATGGCAGACAGCTGTTTTTTAAGCCACAGCAGTAAACTACTTTAAAATGCTCACTGTTTCAAAACCCTAATATTCAGTTTGCTGGGCTTTGGGCTGCAAACTGCTCTGTGTGTTATACATAACTACTGCATCATCATCGTCACTTTATTCTGCTAGCTTGCTAGTTAGTATGCTAGAGGCTACATGGCTAACAACAATGAAAGAAAGACAGTACTCCATGTCTCTATGCCAAAGCCAGACAAAGAAATTATTCCCATATTTTATGTACTTTATACTCAAACCTCTCAACAAACGTTTTACATTGCAGAGTTTTCATGGCTAGCTGATTAGCTGACTGAGGCTAGCCTGCTTAGGACAGGGTGTTCAGTTTGAAAAATCTGTGCCTCGCTGTCTCCTCATGCTGCAAGTGGCCTGGGGCATGCTAAAGGGCATGCTAAAAACACTGAAACAGGCTCCAGGAAAAGAGTGCCACACAGGAATGCTCAGAAGAAGAAGCTAATCTTCACCATTGTCTTGCCTCTCTTTGTCTCTCTATGAAAATGTCAACTTAGTAATTTACAAAGTAGTTTTATACTTGTGACCTAGTTAAAGGGTTTGTTTGGAGTTTCTGAGTTTCTTCATTTTTACACCCTCATATCTAATCTCATAGCACAGTTCAGAAGGCAATGCTACTTTCAGATAAAGTGCAATTCACAGGTGCTCTACAATATGTCATGACCCAAAGAGAGGTCAAAAGCAGGCCATAAACGTTTATGTTTGTACGTCAGAGGTCTAGGGTTGTGGAACAGTCCTGACGCATGAGTCTGGTCTTCTAGTTAAGGTCAGAGAGGAGAAAGTCCAAGTGCCGTCAGCTGAGGGACTGTGCATGATCAGCACAGGGAAATCACCCCATAAGCATAATGGTATGTGGATGTATGAGTTATGCGCCATATGCATCTATGTCTGTGTGCTTCCCACACGGAAACAAAACCTTCTTGAGATCAGAGAGAGAGCAGTGCATTTCCCCTTGGAATTTAGCTGTGAACTGCAGTCAGCACTTTTTAGCCAGCTAACTCCATTCATACTTAGCCCAAACGCCGAGAGCCAAGAAAAGCGAACCGCTTTGGGGAAAATAACAATAGTTTTATTGCAAACCAAACAAAGTCACATAGATCAAAACATTTTACAATTTTACAGTACATATTTGAACAGTTTTTTAAACAGTTATTGTTACATATAAGCATATCTTTAGTTGTTCCATATACATTAAAACTAATACACAGACTCAAAATATACAAACAAACTTAAATAGCAGTACACAGTCGTACTGAATGGAATGTGGCGTTCGGATGGAATCGGAATGCTTTTTTGAGCGGCATTATTACATCACAGAGGAGGCTGGAAGACTAACATGAGATGAGGCGTCTGATTGGTTGGTCCAGGTGTCTATCTACACTCATGTAGCAGCGGAACCCTCCAGCACTGGCCCACTCGGTCAAGCTAAGCATAAAAAAAATTAAAAATGGAGAAAACTGGAACAAATGTTAACCTTATAGTAGCACAGTGTGCGACAGACATCTTTCCATGAGCTGTAAAGCTGATAGAGTCACCCAACCAAAGCATGACAGCATGATTAAACTGAGGTCATGTGCTGGCATAAGCTTGGTTGCATGACCCAGAAGACACGTACACGTTTGAGGAAAGGGACAGAAAAGATGAAGGCACATCTACACATTCCTGTGAAAAATAAAAATAACATTCTGCACCTCCTGACAACAACAAAGCCCTCAAAAAAGCAGATGTGTTGAGGGATCAAAAGAAAACAAAACAAATGCACCCAACAGCAGTCCGACTCTGTCCCTCTTTGCCTCCCTGTGTCCATCCAGAACGACCTGGGTGTAAGCGGAGAAGTAACCATGCTCAGCGCAGTCAAAGACAATGATGATGACGATAAAGATGAAGTCAGTTCTCTCAATGCGTGAGATTTAGGCCTTAAAACTTAAGGCCCGTGGAGCTGCCTTAGGCCATGTGCAAACAGCCCACCTTTTCGGGGGCAGGGAAAATGGGGCTGGCTTCGTTCTCATAGTGATGCACTACAGGTGTGACTCCATGGGTACGGCGTTTCCATGGCAATGAGCTACAGGTAAGAGTCTATGGAATGGTGTCTCCATGGTGACAGGCTACAGGTAAGAGTCCATGGTGGGAGCGTAGGAGAAGCCCAGGAAAGCCTCGGCCGCTTCGCTGATGCTGGCTGTCACCAGAGCGCTGTCGGGTGAGCAGCCAATCGAGCTGGGAACCGGCTCGTCTGTAAACTCTGGGTCAAAGTGCCGTAGGTCATTCGGGCCAGTCTGCGACAAACAAACAAAATTACCTTCAATAAAGATTAAACATGGATTCGTTTTTATAGACTGTGCCAGTGGTTCTTAACTCTGGCCCTGCAAATTTTATTGTTTTTCCTGCTCAAACGCCCTTCAGGAAGGGCTTCTTAATTAGTTGAATCAGGAATGATAGAGCAGGAAAAACAAAATATAGGCCAGAGATATTACGGGACCAGGGCTGAGAACCACTGCTTTGTGTATGAGTAAGAATGGCTTGGATTTTGAATGTTTATTTGTATGACCAAGTTAACTTACCACATTGGGGTTGAAAGGAGGGGTGAGCTTCTTAGCATTCAGATCATCCCAGTTAATGGGGGAGAAGAACATGTGGTTCTTGATCTCAGTCTGTAAAGAAACGAGGAAAAAGAACATGAGTGACATTTGTATTTGAAATGTTGCATTTTCCTATATGAGGTCTACACTTCAATCTATAACCTATGTATTGGTTTCACAGTTAGCAAACAATTAATAGTAGTTACACAATAATATAACAAATAATAAGCTTACAGTTAAACATATTAAAGACATTTCGGTGCTAAGATAAACTCTGTTCCTGGCAAAAAAACACTTACAAAGTCATCAGTGCAGCCCAGTCTCTTGGTTCGGTCCTTCTGGAGCAGGCCCTCCAGCAGATGTCGAGCAGCATTGGAGATGTTGGGCTTCAGCTGCAGAGGCTTGTTCAGGATGTTGTCATACATCTCCGCTGTATTCCGGCTATAGAACGGAGGCTGTTGGCCAAACATAGAAAGCAACAAGTTAAAACTTCAGTCTCAGTAGAGGGTAAAACATGGCATTTACACAGCTGACAGTTTAACGTGAGCAGCTACTGTGATAGAGTCAGGCTTGTGGTAAAGCTTAAATGGTAATCAAAACAGTCCAAACAAAAGATACAAAATGGAATTAATACAAGATTTAGGAAGTCTACTGGTTTTTGTATTACTCACCAGGCCATATAGCATCTCATAGAGCACAGCGCCCAAACACCACCAGTCCACTGTTCTGTCATACGGCTGCTTATGCAATACCTCAGGGAGCCAAATACTGAAAGAGACAAAGAGAGAGAGAATAAGCATTTAAATGAGAGATCACTTGATTTTCTTTTCAGTCTCCACTTCACTGGAGTAGGCTGAAGTAGCTCAATTCATCCGAGATGAAAAGAGCCTACCAGTGAGGATTACAACAGAGGATAATCCATCTGAAGCAGTGTATTCATTTAGCCTTTTTATTCCATTATGAGGGAAAGCTAAAGGTGGCACGCTATTCTAACTATGACGCTCTCTATGGTAAAAAGAGCCAAAGAATGGAAAGCTACCTCTGGTGTTCCACAGAAGGTGGACGTGGTTCCATTGGGCTCGATGTTCTCCTTGCACAGGCCGAAGTCTGTGAGGATGATGTGGCCCTGGGAGTCCAGGAGGATGTTCTCAGGCTTCAGGTCCCGATACACAATGTTCAGAGAGTGTAGGTAGCCCAGAGCGCTGGCAATCTCGGCTGCGTAGAAACGGGCACGAGGCTCCAGAAAACACCGCTCCCTCTGCAAGTGATAGAAGAGCTAGAGAGAAAGAGAAAGAGAGTCTTTGTTAGGGCCTATTGTTTTAATGTCTGTATGCCATTACTGTGTATTCCATTAATTGCTTCTCCAGCTGTTTGTGTATTTTTTCAAATTAGAGATGCTCAATAATGTGGGAATCACATCAGGCAGATAAATGCTCGGTACTGGACAAATGTTCAGATTTGACCAATACAATACAAAAATATTAAGATATCGGCCCAGAACGGAGTATTGGTGTATGCCTACTAAAACAAATCTACTACATTATGCAAGTTATCTTTTTATAAAGAAGTGTAATCACACTGAATCGTCATGAGGTCACAGATTTACAGCGCTTGTCTTTGGATCTACATCCTGAGAGCCATATTTAATCAGGGCTTTCTTCACTCTTCACTTCTGCAACAATGGCAGGAAATGAGAGTGTACTTTACTGAAAGATCCCCCACAGCACACACACACACCTCTGTTCCTCAGAATGGACGAAAAGCCTCACCACCATCACTGCTAAATCTGGCTGCCCCCTCACATACACGATCCCCTCCCAGCCATTTCCCCTACAGCTTCCTTTAAAGAACACAGCCTCTCTCTCCTCATGGCAGGACATCCGCTCTCTCCCTCTGTCTCTGGCTCCACTGTCTGGCCATCTTTTATACTCTCTTCTTCAGCTCTGATATCATTTATATCTGTTCCCCTCCCCCCACTCCTCTCCTGCTAATTCTCTCCATCTTGTGTTTTCCTTCACCATCTCCCTTCTCTCTTCTCTACTGATAAAAACACTTTTCCAATATCCACCTCCCCACTGCGATTCTCACATGCAGATATCGTTCCATAAACAGAACTGATACCACAGTCTTACCTCTCCCCCGTTGATGTAGTCCAGTACGAAGTAGAGTTTGTCAGCAGTTTGGAAGGAGTAATGCAGGCCCACCAGGAACGGGTGCTTCACGTTCTTCAGTAACACGTTACGCTCGGACATAATATGTTTCTCCTACCACGCAGAGAGAGAGCAAGGTCAGGGGTCAAAGATGAGTCAGACATGAACATTCTTCACTCACATTCTTTAGATAACACGGCTAAAAGCATATCACTGCTGTCGTAACAAAGACTTCTAACTATAAGAAAAGGAAAAAAATGCTTAAATTATAATTTGCTATAATATAGCAAGATTGGTCCAATCTTCAAGAAATCCTCATATTATGTAAAGGCCAATCGGCCCTTTTAAATGGTGTAAAAAATAAAGGATTTGATATGACACCATCTATATATAACAACAAATTCTAACACATTATAAGTACTATATATCCTAATAGGCTCTCTGCATAATGAAGGACTACAGACAGTGATCCTGTACGAAACCTTAGTGGCTGACGCCAAAGCTAACAAGCAGCCTGACCTATTCAAAGAGATCAGGTTTCTTACCTCTTTCTTCTTCAGGATGGCTTTCTTCTGTAGCACTTTGACTGCATAGAACTTGTCATCGCCTCGGTGGCGGGCCAGCAGCACCTTGCCAAAGCTGCCTTTTCCAATGACCTTCAGGAAGTTGAAGTCTGAGGGTTTGGCAGTGGGGTTGGAGGAAGGACCCAGATTTATCTGCTGAGATGGACTGGGCTGCAGTGAAGGAACATTTAGTTACAGTCAGACAACTGCAGAACGCAGACAGACATATATAAACACATATGTACATACATGCAGACATGCACAGACACTTACAGGAGGAGAGGGGTTAGTGTTCATTAGCTCGGCATCTTGCGGCGGTGTCAGGTTCAAAATGGACTGCACCTCCGGGCTAGGAGATAAAATAACAACCATAATTATCATGAACAGTGCGGGTACACGGTGGACCATCAAACACAGCAGCTTTGCTACCGTAAACAAGAAGCAGGAGATTAAAACGAAGTTATCATAACAAACAAGCATGTGCAATAAACAGCACAATTAAGGAGTCTTTCTCAAGTACAGTTTGCACAACACTTTTGTTGTTTAAAAGGTTTGATACTCACTGTTTGCATGCATAGGAGTTGGTGGCAAGCTTCTGAATAAAATCATTCAGTCCCATTCTCCTCTGTTTCATAAAGGCTGCAAGATGAGAAAGAGAGACAGAGAGGGAAAAAAACAGGAATCACTTGATATTCTTCCATCACATCACTGAAGTAGGTTGGCTCAAGTAGCTCCATTCATCCCAGATAAAGAAAGCCTACCACTGAGATTAGCCACTAGTCCCCTTGTCTTAGAGTAGGTCAGCGGCGGAGCTGGGACGCTAGTCTCCGTTTGGATTGTCATTGCAGTACTTTTCCACCGTGGGCAGCCACCCAAGAGCACACAAAAGCTTCACTGAACTCCTACACCTCTGCTCCAACTTTAATAGGGGACGGAGAGGGGAAGGAGGAGGAGCTTCAATCTCGCCTTTCTCTGGGGCGTGAGGCACGGTGACGTAAGCAGCCGGCAACCAACCAGAGGCGTTCGTTTGTGAATAATTAACTACCCAACGTACTCCCGGCTCTATTTACAAAAAAAGGCGAAACTTCTTTGCACGAAAGCGGTACTGGAAATAAGAAGAAACACGAAATAGCACACAGGCTTTAAACAGCGCCAAAACACTTTGTGTTCATAATCCAACCAACACTAGCAACCACACTACGGCAGCGTTTCCAAGTCCAGCGCACGAGCACCACATTTTTGCTTCATTTCAGCCTCAGAAACACTGTTGTGAGCCGGACTTGAGCGAACAAGCGGAACATCTTAAGAAACACTGTTCTAGAACACTGACTGCACCATCATAGGCTACTGCATGCGTCACGAAAGTGTTTTTATTGCCCTTCCCGCGTGCAGTTCCCAAATTTCAGCAACAGGTGAGCAGCCCAGCCTACCTGAAGAGCCAAAGTCCACCACAGGTCAATGCCTCCGAGTACAAAGCCGCTGATGTGCAGGTGATCCGCGCCCATGGGTCTCCGCGTGAGCTCTGATTTCTCTCTCTCTCTCTCTTTCTCCCTCTCTCTGGTGTTCAGTGACGCATGCATCGCGAGACAAAAGCGAGGGAGCCCATGCCAAAACCACTAAACTCAAGCTTTGATCTCAGTTTCCTTTTAAATATGCTTTCATAGCGTCTTCAGGATTATATCCCAAGTGCAGTCACCTTGACTTACTCCTACTAGGCGACGTTTGCCTTAAGAAAACTCTTTGGTATGCGCTTTTGCTATGGAAAACCGACTCGTGCACGCGCTCTATACCATGAAAGCGATGCCCTACTTTTGGCACGGTTATGCAATGCAAAACCTGGGTGGACTACTAATTAACCGGGGCGATTCCGAGGAATCATCATTCTTCATTCATTAATGATAATGATGGAAAAAAAAAACGGTTTGGCTCATTCTAAGTCTTGGCACGAGGCGACAGAGCCAGCTGTTTGTGCGCTGCTTTAATCCAGCTGTGAGACTAGCATACAGTTATGCAGTTGAATGATAATGTTATGGCCAGTGTTAAGGCTTAAACACAACCAAAGCACCAAAAAAGTATCTGAAACTCAGTTTAACACCTTCCATATGTTTACAGAAAAGCCTCTTGGTCCTACAAGGGTTCTCTAATAAAGGGAACTATAAGTTCAATATAGAACCATTTCATGATTAATTGGCTCTTTGCATGGTTAAATCTTCTTCAGATTGGTGGAGAAGGTGTATAATGTATATATTCTACAGAGAAGCTTGTTAAAAGTGGCTCTACATGGCACCAAAAAGGTTCTAGATAAAGTAATATAGGCTACAACACATTTGAAGAAGAATCTCACCATGCATTTCATGCTTAAATGGCTCTACATTGTACTCATGGTTCTATGCAGAACTATTCCTTTTAATAAAGAACCCTTGAAGAACCATATTTTCTAAGAGTGTATAGAAAGCAGCACGGATAAGACGGTTTCCAGCCACAGAGGTCGTTGAACTGTCTAATAGAAGGAAGCCAAGACAGCTTGACTTGTGCTGTAATCTTCCAAACGTTCCCACCACTCATTCGAATCGATTAAACTCGAAATCATCAATATCAATACACTGATTATACACCAGTCATTAGCCTTGGCTTACTATTGCTAGCACTGCTAAAGCACTGAATGTTTTGAATCAAAATAAAGCCTTAAAGGCACAAACCTTTCAGTTCTGTGCTGTTCCTCATCGCCAAACCTGCGAAAAAGTGAGCCAGAGCGAGCAACTGGAGACACTGGAGCTCTAACTACTCTGGTACACGAAAGCAAAGTAAGTTCCTTGTCGGTTTTTTGGGATAGACACGGATGTAAGCGGTGTTAAAACCCGGTCACAGCTCAGCTGTAGCTCGCAGACTGCCGGTGTATTTCCTCCTAACAGCCCACCACCACCATGGAGACCCACCCGCATTCAGTTTGAAAACATAAACAAAGTATCCTGTTTTCCCTCAGTGGGTTCAACAAGTCACTTACATGCCAGCTGCGAGGATTTGTCTTTCATAGGGACGGCGATAGAGACCAGAAAATGTTGTGAAAGGTCTTAAGAAGTTTGAAGGAGAGACGCCTTTCTCTTCTCCAGGCGCCGCATTCCGGCTGCCTCTGACTGACCCAGGCTTTCAGCGGAAATGGGCGGGCCTGAAAGCTGAGTTTGAAATCAGACTACTAATCGTCCTACTGTAAATAAATACATCACAGAATAGGAGCACAATAATAAAAAGATTAATGTCCGAACGAGTAATATTCATAAATAACAGACGAAAAGTGCCCGGATGCTGTAGTGCTAGGCGGATTGATACTGAAATACCGATACTGTCGATGGTGACGTTTCTTTTTCGGTATCGAAAATACGGATGCTTTAAGTGCCCGATCGAAATGGTCTAAAATTACTTAGAAAAATGTCTGTTTACAATGATTTGCATTAAAAGTAAAGTAGGTTTTTGCTTTCTCAACATTTTGGATACAACAATACAGGTGGAGCGCAATAACAACCTAACGCTCAATTTAACACAGACTTTTTATGTTGTTATACAAGGTCAAGCAGCCTGTGCTTCTGGCCACATTACCACATGTCTTAGCTGTGGTCTCCTGCAAAAATTCAGAGCAATTCTTCAGCGTTTTACCCCCTTAAATGGCCAGGGCCCACCGGCAGGCCCAATGTTTTATTACGCACTTCCATATCCTATAAATAGCTCAGCCAGTTTGCACTGAAGTCCCTGTAGCTACTGAATAATAAGCCTTAGCGTGTAAGCCATCTGTGCCAAAGTGTTTTTTTCAGGGCATGTGGGTAATTTTTTTCAACACAGGTTTTTCAGTTACTGAGCTGTTTGTGTAAATCACAAAATCAAACTTTATATGACTTTAATCACCATCTTATTTCCCACAACGTAGCACTGTTTTTAAGCATGTGACAAGCTCATAGCAAGTGCTAGCTAGGCGTAAGTACAGCCTCCATACTGCGGGGTTAGTTGTTACAAAGCGTTACAACTAAGCCACCTTTAGTAAACAAAGACAAACAAATAAACTTTGTCTTTTTGTTTCACATGTTTGCACAGATTTTAAAAATGAAAAATGAAAATGAAACTTTCTTCTGCTTTATTAGTATCTTTCAGAGATTAGAGGTTTTGCTGTTAAGTAAGTATATTAATGAAATTGATGTTAACAGTTGATAAAACTGTAGTTATTCTGAAACAATGTTCCATATTTTACTGATGTGTGATGTTTTTTATTTGCTGTCCTACGTTTGTCATTGTTTAACACACAGTCTCATGTCAGTGTTCATATGTAATTTGATGTGTGTGTATGTGTGTGTGTGTGTGTGTATATATATGTGTTTATCTATCAATTGATCTGTCTGTCTGTCATATAGGTATATAATATAAATATTTAAATATAAATATGCAATTTAGTTGGAAAATAATTTGTTTCTTACAACATAGAATTATATTGAATTAACTTTGTTTGCACTAATTCACGGATGGCACGGTGGCGCGGTGGGTAGCGCTGTCGCCTCACAGCAAAAATGGCCCGGGTTTGATTCCCGGCCGGGCGACCAGGGTCATTTCTGTGTGGAGTTTGCATGTTCTCCCCGTGTCTGTGTGGGTTTCCTCCGGGTTCTCCGGTTTCCTCCCACAGTCCAAAAACATGCAGTCAGGCTAATTAGATACGCTAAATTGCCTCTAGGTGTGTGTGAATGTGTATGTCTGTCTGTCTGCCCTGCGATGGACCTGTCCAGGGTGTATCCTGCCTTCTGCCCAATGACAGCTGGGATAGGCTCCAGCACCCTACCGTGGCTCAGAAGGATAAGCGGTTTAGATGATGTGTGTGTATGTGTGTGTGTGTGTGTGTGTGTGTGTGTGCACTAATTCATCAGACTTTGCTAGCAAGTGTTAAACTGACCCTCTGTCTGTTACAACTAAACCCACAAATTAGTAATGAAAAGGAAGCGTACTTGAGCACATCACTAGTATTTGGGAATTACATAGAGAATACTAAATGTAAATTTTTTATTTTATGGAAGTACACCTGAAATATACTTTTCTGTATTATTATAAAAGAAGAATTTTAAAGTATCACGTTTTAAACTAGTAACATGCATTCCTGACGGAAACACAGAATGGTTGCACAGCTTAAATGGTTCCCACTTCCTGCTAGGTTGTTGCTAGGCGGTTACTATGGAATCCCAGGTGATTGCTAAGGTGTTGCTAGGCAGTTGCTATGGAATCTCTTGCGGTTGCTAAATTGCTGCTAGGCAGTTGCCATGGTATATGGGGTGTTTTTTTAGTTGTTCGTAGGGAGTTGCCAAGTGGTAGCTACGTGTTGTTGAAAATGAATGGGAGTCTATGTAAGGAACGAGGGATGAAAAAACAACACATAGAGGTGTGTGGGTCAGTATGGCTGTGGTTTAGAACTTGGGGACCTGCCCTGAGTGAGTACATGTATTTTGGCGTCTGTTGGGCAAAGGAAAAAACAGGGCTGGGGTTTTGGGCAAAAATGAATGGGACACTATGGGAAAAACAAGGGATGAAAAAACGACACATAAATTCTCATACAACTCAAACTAACTAGCAAGTTAGTGTTAACAAGCAACTGATTGAGCTTTATTACAACATGAGTTGCACCAGAAAATCACTTTTATACATAACATATGCATTGAACATTAATATCATTTAAGCATAAGTTGTGTTTAAAGTACAGACATTTTATTTATTGAATATTTAAGTGAATTTAATGGTTTTTTAACACATTTTAATAACTCAATAAGAAGATGTATCAGCACATCCAGTGGTGTATTTATAATATATTTGAAGTAGTAACAGTTATATCTACAAATTACATTCTTAAATCGGCAACTAAATTGTTGAAAAGCATAGCTTAATTACAATTTAAATACACTTTATTATGTATTATATTACATTATTTCACAATATTGTTTTTAGGAAATTAGGATGGTGGAACAAAAGAAAATCATGCATCACTCATATACAAAAGTGTGGATTCTGATGAGATGGCTATTCTTATTATGACATTCATAATGCTATCAAAATTAGATTAAGACATATTTTCACATGACAGCCTATGACAAAACACAGGAGTATGGTGGTCCTCAAAAGTTTGAAGCAACTTTGTTGTGGTGACCCCATTCCACTCCCAGGTTGTATTACAGGTTAAGTGAACTGGAGTTGATTAAACTCCTTGAGTGTGAATGCCCTGCAATATCATCGTCAAACAGCAGACAAAGTGTGCATTGAGAAAACATAAGGCAATAAAAGTCACGCAATAACAGTCATGCAATGACTGATGAGTTAACTTTTCCTGTCAACTTCCTCAGTTGTTACTGTAATTCACTACTTTCCCACAGTGTCTGAAGTCCTCTTCGAACTGAACGTTCTCATTTTCTGTAGTTTAACATCGTCCTTAAAATGTCTAGAAGAATGTGTAGTTCCACTTTAGGGTGAATGGAATTTCCAAAAACGTCCTCACTCAATGTACCACAAAGAGTAATGAGAAAAAACAATGGGCCCACTTCCGCAGTTTTTTTACGAAGATTCTGACATTGACTAATGTTTTCTTATTTGGTATTTCTCCATAGGTAAGAACAGAATCTACACACACTCAAGAGCACAAAGGTGCAAATAACTCTGTGGTTTAGGAACACATTATGAATCTGATGTAGACTTTTTCTCAGGATCTTTCTCAAGAACACATTTAAGTAGAAACTTAGGACGATATTGGTGAATGAGGCCCAACGATCTGGGCCAGTTCTTAAGGAATGCTAACAGGATAGCTAAGCTAGTGTTTTTCCAATCCTGGTTCTAGAGCTCCTCTAGAATGTTGTTTTTGTTGGCAGTGACAGATTTGCTATGCCCAATACCAAGTGTCAGCTAGAGGGGTATAAATGCCCCCAGCATTAGGCTGTGGAGCAGTGGAACTGCATTCTCTGGATTAATGGAGCTCCAGCCAATACCTTTTGAGATTAGTTGGATTGATCCAGAACTAATCATCTATCATCTGTACCTGACCTCACCAATGCTCTTGTGGATGAATGCAATCAAATCCTCACAGCAATGTTCCTACATCTAGAGTAAAGCCTTCCCAGAAGAGTAGAAGCTGTTACTGCAGAAAAGGCTGGGCAAGCTCCCTAGTAGTACCCTTGATTTCAGAAGTAACGCTGATGCAGAGCTCTGCAAACTAATGTTTTCTAGCACATACAATGATCAGACCAGCAACTGACCAAAACAATCAGCCACAACTGCATGACCGGATGAGGGTGAGCTCAGAGCTACATCAGACCTCACCAGACAAACACCAGACCAACAGTAAACACAACTCAAACAGAAGCGATCAGTGTTGTGCATCAACAATACATGTGCGTCATAAGGCCTACTCTGCTTCACTGTGCCTCAATAGCTTTTAAAAAACATTTGAATCTGCTTGACATTTTTTGTTTTTTGCCAGCATCATTTACATTAAATTATAAAATAATAATAATTAACAAAAAACATATTTGTTCTGTGTTATACCATTTAAATGGATACATTTGTCTATATTTTTGCACAGAAGTTGCAGAAACCATATTACTTGGCTGCAAATAAATCGCCGGTCAAATTAATTGGGCGAAGCTGTTGACCACTAAGCTGCAGTCAGTCTGTATTTTTATGTAAGTGTATTTTTTTAGCATATTTCAAAGAACCAAAAGAAGGAAATGCACTCTGTGCTGCTCTTTAATTAGTATGCAGTAGCCTCATTCCATGCATTATATAATAACTTATATGCTGGCCCAAGTTCCCCAAAGTCATAAATTATGAAAGCAGTTTAGAAGTTACATGCACAAATATAACTGAATGATAGTGTACATATGCAGTACTGTACAAAAGTCAGATACCACCATTCATTTATTAGCGTTGCATTAGTGTTATCAAAGCTTTTAATTGCCTTTAATTTCAGTTATTAAAACTGTGCTGGTCTGGTTGCACCAGTTGACTTTGACTGATGTGCTACCTGACTTTTCAGACTAATTTCAAATTAAACAGGCATATACTTATACCTGTAGAAACCTGTGTCCTTGAACTTGGGTTTATACTTACATACTTACTTTCAAATAAATAAACACTAT